CTTAACACAGTCTTGTTAAAAGTTCACAAAAGCCAACTCGAAGGGTTCTCATGATCTCTGATTGGAAATCCAAGTATCAAAAGTAATAACGGAAGTCAGCATGATGGCTCCAGATACTGAGAGGCTGAGCCAAGAGAATTCCAAATTTGAGCCCAGGCTGAGCAACTTAGACACTCAGTGAGGCCCTATTTCAAAATAATAAAAAGAAAAGTGGGCTGAGGAAGTAGCTCAGTGCAAATGCCATGTGTTAAAAAATTTCCACTACTGCAATGAATATGTAATTTTAAAGACAGAAACAAACTAAATGTCCATCAATGGATAAGGGCATAAACAAATTTGGTACATCCATAAGCCAGAATACTACTCAGTAATAAAAAAAAGAACAAACAACTGATATATGCTACATGAATGAATCTCAAAAATAATAAAACCCAGGCAAGAAAAGACATTGTATTTAAACAGAATTTTAGGGGCTGGGGATTTAGCTCAGCGGCCTAACTGCCTGCCTTGCAAGCAGGCAGTTGTGAGTTTGATCCCCGGTACCGATAAAAAAGAGAGAGACAAAAAATAAATAAATAAATAAACAAACAGAATTTTAAATAATGTTGAATTTAAGTAAAACTCCACAAAATGCAAGCTGTTCAACAGCCGAAAAATCAGCACTTCTCTGAAGCAGGGCTAGAGATAGGGATGCATTAGGAACAGGTACAAAGAAACTTTTAGAGGTGATGGAAATATTCGTTGTCTTAACTACACTTTCCTGTACGTTAATTATATGTAGAAGGAAGGAAATAAATTAGGTCAGACAGACATACATGCTTAAGGTACAACTCAGTTCTTAAGAACTTACAAAGAGACACAAGAGGTAACACTGCTTTCTTTTTATGAGCTTTATTTCAAAGTAAACGAATAGCTGATGAGGTAACAGGTGTGTACGTTTGTTTGTGACAGGGTCTCACTATGCAGTTCAGATTAGCACTGAACTGTGTATAACCCAGGCTGGCCTTATGACAATCCTCTTGCCTCAGCCTCTCGAGTGCATTACAGGTGTGTGCTACCATCCCCAGCTAAGGTAACAGGTCTTTTTAGATTTTAGATAGTAAGATGCAGAAAGAAAAACAGAAATTCACCGCTTTGCAACTATTAGTAAAATAACAGATTTAAGCAATCATCAACAGGTGGCAAAATTCTTAAGTAAATGGTTAATGAGGGATTGAGAGGCTGGCACCACTTTAAACTATTAATCTCAGTGTAGAACAATCAGACATCTTTCATCTTATGATGAAAGTTATGAGGCATTGTCATCTAAAACAACTGATACTGAATCTACCATAAGTTTCCAGAACTGTAAAATATATATGTATATTTAAGTAATGCAAGATGTGTAACTGTTTTCCAAACATATTAAAAGCTAGTAAGACAAATTTTAAGTGTTTTACTTAGACCTACACAAAAAATATTATCATTTCAACTATAATCAAGATAAAAATTAAGGCCAGATATGGTGCACACCTGTAATTTCAGCATTTAGGCTGAGGTAGCAGGAACCCTGTGAGCTCAAGACTAGCCTGAGCTACATAGTGAGACTAGTCTCAAAGAAAAAACATAAAACTGAGTAATTTTACTTTCTTTCATACAAAGTTTTCAAAAATATGATGTGCATTATATCTGATAAGCTATACTTTATGTGATAGTTACTAATAATGATGACTATTATATTGAGCAGTGTGGATCTACATACAAAGCCTGTTTATAGAAAATAAAAGTGGAGTTAAGTTAAATCACAGCACGAAAAAGAAATCCAGGATGTGGGAAACTTCTCAGAACAAATAAGGTACTTTCATTTCTCTTCTACAACAGTTTCTTTTTTCCTTATGCCACTGATTTGTTTGGAAGGATGAGAGGTTAAACCTACAGGACAACTAAAAATGTATGGGCTTTGTTTCAATCCTGATTCAAATCAACTATCAAAACACCTTTAACAGGATAGGAGAAATCTCACTGTGGGTTGAGTAATCAACAATATTAAACCAGCATTAGTTTTGTTGGATGAGATAAATACTAAAGAGGAAGTCAGATAAGTAACACTTGATTTTAAAGGGAGGTAATGTGTGTGGAACCAGACTATGAATTAATATTATTGAAGCAGGGGTACATGTAAGTACACGGAGCTCCTTTATACACACCCCTCTGCACACACATAGTTTAACAAAATCTCAGTTTTTTCAAAGCACCCACTTGGTGTATCGTATTAAATATGTAGGACGAGTTCTGATAAAGTTCCATGTTTGTCCTCCTGTGTTACACAGATTAGACAATAGTTTATTATCATGATACAAGTGGTACAACAGCTGAAATCAGGCAAATTAGATTGTTTTTCTTAAAAGTGCCTGCAGTGACAGTTAAATCTTTTAGAGCTTTCAAAATAACAAATGTGTGTAATAAGTTCCTCAACACTAGCCTGGAGAATAAGGACTAGCTAAAATCTTGATAGTACACAAAACCCCATTTCTAATGTTCCGTACTTTCTCATGTATTTCCCTTCTCTACTACTGGCATTTTTCCTAACAAATTAAATGAAAGTTATTTCCTTCCAAATTTCATTTTGGAAGGTTTTTCAAGCGGATGGCCCTTACTGCACTGCCAAACAGAGTAACTTTACGACATTAATTTTGACAAAATATGAAATGAGAAATTATACATATACATATTGTCTTAAATTACAACTGCCCACTTAAACACTCAGCAACTATTAATAATGCCTGTCTTGCAGAAAGGAGAAAACAAGGAACCTGTCATACTTTCTCATTTTTTTCTGAAAAGTTCCTCCAAACTCTCTTTCAACTCAATGATAGGAGACTATTCTCCACTTTGTTCTTATGTGACAGTTCACACTTACTTTTCTGCAATCCCTCTAATTCTCTCCTTTAGTCTTATGTACTTCTCTATAAATTCTGTATTAAGTGTCACTACACTTCCTCACAAGCATTTCCGGCCACCTCTGAAAAAGCTCCACTTATCATCACATGAGCCATTGGGGGTACATCAAAACACAAGCCACAACAATTTATTTTTTGTAAACATCTATCCTTGCAGTACACTCTGGCAACTACTACCAAATTAGTTTTCCTAAACCATCTGTTTAGCAAAATTAGGAAAAAAATTCTAAAAACATTGTTCAAAAGGTTTAAAATTAAATCAAAACTCCTGTTTGTTAAATATTTGAGATCTCTTAAAATCTAAAACCAATATAGAAATGTATTTCTAGGGATTTTATTTTTTACTGTTGGTATACCTTTGCAATACATAATTATATTAATCGTGGAGAACCGATACATGGAAGTATCATACCTTGATAATGTTTATTTCCTCAACCACTCTACATTTCCCCCATTTCCAAATCCTCTTCTCAATCTCACAAAGTCTACTTGCTTCCTTCTATTTCTCTTTTATTCTTTAAATTACTTATATTTTAGGTTTTTCATGTAAGAGAAACCTCTCAATATTTATCCTCTGTGTCTGACTAACTTCATTTAGGATTACAGACTCAAGATTCATCATTTTCTTACAAATTACTTGCATATATCCTTTTTCATGTCTGAGTAGTACTCTACTGTGTGTAAAGAAAATGTGATAAAAGCAACATTTTTCTCTGGGTTACGTCTGGTAATTCAAAACCAAACACTCAAAAAAAAAAAAAAAAATAGGGGCTGGGGATTTAGCTCAGTGGCATAAGTATCTGCCTTGCAAGCAGGCGGTTGTGAATTTGATCCCCAGTACCGATAAAAAGATTAAAAGATTAAAAAAAAAAAAGCAAACACTCCCTTTTAGCCTAATTTGTGCTCTAAAAAAAGCAATCTTGGCACCACTCACAACATCTCAATCCAGAAAATCCTATTGCATCTAACAGTTTCCTGCACATTACAAACAGTAATCTCTCTTTCCTGAATTTCACACAATATTAAATGTCACAACACATACTGTAATTTTACTGTAACAGTGCTCTTTTCTCTTTGCCTAGAGACAAATGTCTTGAAAGCAAAATTATGTCTAACTTAATTCATTCACCTACAGAGTATCTCTCTTCACAATGCAGAATAAATTTTACCAACGATGAACGTCCTTACTCTACCTAAAATCCAGTAATAGCTTTTCTTAGTTCCATAAATGGTTCTGTACATTTTATGGCGACCATATGTATTATAGGGCCCAGTAAATTTTAAATTTCTCTTAACAATCTCACCGTGGTCTAGCATTTAACTTCAAAATGTGGTAGGTATGGTTCGTTAGCCATTTTACACATCTCATTTAATCCTCACAACCTTAGTAGGAAACAGAGTTGAATCTCCTCTTTATGGACGAGAAAACTGTACGTTCAACATTAGATACCTCTCCCTTATTTCTTTTTTGCCCTTTCCTCTCTGAAACACTTTTTTCTAAATTCGTTCCACCGTTACTCAACTGCTCATTAAATCGTAGCTTATTAAAAACTAAGTCTAGGTAATAGGCTAGTGCCTCCACATCAAGAGAAACCTTAAGACCCTCGCTATCCCACGCCAAAGATAGGTGTAGGGTCAGCCACGCGCGTCTAAGGAAGCACCGCGGCACGAACTCACGCTGCCTCCAGACAAGCACACCTGGAAAAAATAATCCATGTTTCCCTGAACCAACACTCTAAAATAAAAACTTGGACATCTTCCTTACCCGCTCTTTTCTGAAGACCCTGTCGGTCCTTTCCACTTTCCCTTCTCTTTTTCTTTGTCTTTATTGGCTCCGGGTTCAGTAGTTGACTCGTCTTCGAACACGCTGAACAGTTCATCCCCAAAAGCGTCCGCCATCTTCGGAGCAGCAAGACCGACTCTCGGTCCTACCCACAATGCCCCACGACACCGCACCGGCAGTGACGCCACGCAAAGGCGCAACAGTGGCCCGTAAGAGGCAAAAGTAATCAAGTCGTAAAACCACCTGACCCTTTTTGTTTTATGTTTCCATTTTGTTTGCTGCTCTTCGGGTTTTGTTTTGTTTTATTTTAAATGGTTTTGCTTTTTCCTTTTCCATTACTGATGGGTAGGCAAGTCAGGAGCCAAAGAGTGTACCCTGTACACTACACGCGGTATCTAAAGGCTAGGACAGAAAGGGATAGCGAGGAGGCGGGGTCCGGTAAATCAGGCCAATTGCGAAGGAGCAGTCACCCTGACCGGAGAAACCCGGATAGAGCATCTTAGTTGGCAAGGCGGGAGCTAGGTAAAGCGAAGAGGTCTTCAGGTTTCTGCAGTAGGCGAGCTGAAACGTGGACCTGGGAGAGTTTTCTGTCACTGCTGTAACATGGGTGGCAAGAACAAGAAACACAAGACCCCGGGGGCTGCGGCTGTCCGAGCCGCCGTGTCTGCTTCCCGAGCCAAAACTGCCGAGGCCGGAGCTGTTGGGGAAGCCCAAAGCAAGAAACCGGTGGCCAGGCAGACCCCCGCGGTCGCTCCCAGCGCTCGGGAATCCCGAGTCAAGCAAGGTACGAGGCGTCGCGCGGCTCCTATCCGTCCTGAGATCTTGTTCCTCCTGCCGAGTAAAGCCTTCAAACCCGCTTAAATTCGTGGGCTCAAAATTCGTTTTTCCTACACCCGGGGCTATTAGCTCTCCAGGGGTGGCCTTTATGGACATCGATCTAAGCATTTTAGGACTCCAGAGTTTTGATGGTAGTCCTGTTGCAGTAGCGTCTCCCTTCTGATCTCACTTTTCTCCTTCCAAGAACATACTAGTGCGTTTTCGGCAGGCATCCGGCCTGAGCCATTATCAGTTAGCAGAGACAGGTAGAAATGGAATTCTTATCTTCTAAGGTTATCTCCTTTTTTTTTTTTTTTTTTTTTTTTTAACCAGAACTTCTTAGCGTTCTCAACAACGATGTCGTTCCTCTGTGTTCTGGAAAAATCAGTACTTAGTAAGAAGTACAATGTTCACTGAACATGGATGTAACCGATTGTAAAAATATCTGAACTGTTCCCTGCAGCTTTGCATTTTTGCTTACTCTGCCAATTGGTTGGATAACAGAGATGACCGATTCTTGCTTCAGATGAAAATTACATGTTTCTCTTACGTTGTTGTTCTTATTGGGGTGTTCATCAACAAATCTTTACTAAGCATGTATGTGTGTATTTACATATGTGTCTCTACAAATATTTCCCATATGTCTGATACGATGTTGAAAGTGAGATGAACAAATTAGACACATCTCATGCAGCTTTCGGGTCAAATACTGGAGATAGGTATTAGCTAATCACACAGGTGTATTGCTTTATAGTCAATAAATGCCACAAAGAAACTCCTGAAAAGGGTTAAAGAAGATCACCTAATTCTTACTAGATAAGAACAGCAATGATAAATGGCCTGAAAAAGTGACAGGTGAGAGCACAGGATGGGAAGGGATTAACTTTGTAAACCATGGCAAAAATAGTGTACTATACCAGAGAGAGCTTAGGAGCACAATATGCAAAGATCTTGAATTAAAAAAAAAAAAAAAAGCTTGGGAGTCTTGAGTGTAACAGCAAGTAGAAACACCAAAAGGATACCCAGGATTTGGAGGCAGATTTATTTATGTCAACGAGCACTGATCGGGATTGTTCCCAAAATATCAGGCCCTAATCTCTGGTGGTCTTGGATTTACGTGGAATAAGCAAGCAGGAAGTATAGTGGCAGAATGGTTTGTCAGTTGGGAATTGGTTTATATAGTATGCATCATAGTGACAGCCATTTCTAAGAGACAGGAGCCACTGGAACTGGATCAGGAACTACTACCTGGGCAACTAACAAACTGAAATATACTGAATGGTGGGGGCATTTTCTGTTGCATTAGGAGGTCATAAAATATCAACATTGCCAAAGGAAAAGACTGGAAAAATAGGTGAATACCAATTTTCACCTAGAAATTGGATAATACTTTTTTCGTTGTTTGGCTTTTTTTTTTTTTTTTTTTTTTTTTTTGGTTTTTGTTATTGTATTGTTTTTTGTTTTTTGAGACAAGGTATCACTATGTAGTAGTTCAGGCTGACTTTGAACTCACTTTTTAGCCAGGCTGGCCTTCAATTCAAGGCAGTCCTCCTGCCACAGCCTCCCAAGTGCTGGGATTACATTTATATATCACTATTCGGGGCTTGGAGAATACTTCCTCACTGTGTAATTTGTTGTGCTGCCTATCCGAAACACCATCTACCAAATTTTCAGAAAATTCAAACAAATGTCAGTAAAAGGCACATGGAAAGTAAATCTGATGCTGATCAACAGAGTAATAACTGCCACACAGTCATTTGTTGTATTCTTTGGCTTTTCTTTCCTGCAGTCCCCAAATGTGACCCTTTCTGAAGGTGTCCTTGGCAGTATAGTTTCCACCCACAGATCTCCTTGGAGAGTTCGTCTAGTTCCATTACTTTCATCTTTTCCATCATGGGTAACTTTACAAGCAACATTAGGTCCTGCTCCACCTTCTTGTTTGTCGAAGATCAAACATTACTTTAAATGCTTTCCTTTCATCCTTGCATTCAATCTGTGACCATGGCTCTGTCTCTTCACTTATTATTTTTCCTATGCACCCTCTCACTTTTTTTTCTCTATTCTTTCTAACATACAAGCATCAGATTTGTCTTCCAAAAATGCTACTTGGTAATACCACTTGTCATTTGTTCTATAGCATCCTCATTGACTTCATAGTAAAATCCACTCAGCTACCATGGAAGGCCCTCTTTCCAGCCTTTTTACTAATCCTTGTTTTTAACTATAGCAAATCTAGTATATTTCCATTGCTTCGAATGGAACTGTTAGCTTACTGTAATTTTCTCTTCATGAAATGCTGCCTGTCTGAAATACCATCTGTCAAAATCCTATAGTACCCTGTTTGGGTATCTATCTCTCTCTCTCTCTCTCTCTCTCTCTCTCTCTCTCTCTCTCTCTCTCTCTCCCAGGAATCAAATCCCAGAGCACTCTACCAATGAGGTAGGTATATCCCCAGCACTTTGAAATTGTTTTGTTTTGAGATAGTGTCTTGCTAAATCACTCAGGCAGGACTCAAATTTGTGATTGTCTCGCATCAGTCTCCCAAGTGTGTGCCCGGCTACCCATTTTTTGAACTCTCCAGTATGCATAACCCATGCATCATGGTTGTGTACGTCATTCTTTTTGATAGTTAGGTCTTGTTCTATGGTACATGAGGAACTACACATTTTATATATACTACAAAGTAACAGAATGTAGTGAAAATGTGTTAATGTCACTGTGATATTTATTCTAATGCTATGAAAAAATAATTTTAAAAGTTCCTTGGATAAATGGTAAAGAAAAATTCAAAGGAATTATTAAAAGAAATCAAAAGAGAGAAAACAAGCAGTTGTCTACTAAATTTGTAATGAAGTTTTAAATTTTCTTTTTGAGTATTTTTAGAAAATGTAATAGGCCTTCTTTGGAGGAAAAAAGTGAGGAACTTTTCACTTCTTTGCAGTTCCTATTGTATACAGTTAGTTTGACCTCTCGTTATTTTTTCGGCTACTTAGAAGGATCATATACAGCCCAGTTTATCAAAATGTGTTGTAATCTAAAGGTCAAAAACTATTGATGCCAGTAAACGGCTCTCGGCACAATTTTGGGTATTCTTGCCATTCCTGTTTGTTTCATTTGTTTCTCAAAAAAATTTTGAAGAGCTATTAATGTGCCAAGAAAAATTTTAGGCCATGGAGATAACACTGGAAGAAAACATCACTTTTCTAAGACTTTCATTTTGGCTGGGGCAGGAGGAGGGCAAGATGGAGACTTACTTTAGAAGATAAGCAAAATTTCTTCTACATTTAGTTATGCTAAGTGCTATGAAATTTAACATACCTGATAGGCAAAGAGAGAAGAATAGAAAAAAATAGCATTTTTAAAGAGGTTGGCCAGAAGACATCACACAGAGGCAATATTTGAGCAAAGGAGATGTGTAAGTTAGTTTCTGGGGTGGGCCTTCTAGGCAGAGAGAACAGTGAAAGAAAGCCTCAGGTGTATGCTTGCATGTTCTAGAAATAGCAACACCTTTTCCTTTCCGCTGTCCACTTTTCCTTTCTGTTTCTGTGTCTTTTCTTAGCAGTACCTCTACCTAGCCAGGCAATGTGCCTGTAAATCCCAACATTCAGGGAGCTGGAACAAGAGTATCGCTGTGAGTTGGAAGCTAGAAGCCATCTCAAAAAACAAAAAACATGGGGCTGGGAATTTAGTTCAGTGGCATAAGCACCTGCCTTGCAAACGTGTGGTCGTGAGTTGGATCCCTGGTACCGATTAAAAAAAAAATTTTTTTTTTCCACATTTAGCCTACTTACAACTAGCTCAGCTGCTTTGCCATGGTATGAATCAGACCTAAATAAGAGATTACGTTTTTTTTTCTTCTGAGCAAAAAGCTTGCATTTCTGAAAATCCTTGAAATTTAGTTGAAACTTTAAATCTAAGAAGTAATAGTGGGAGACTTATGTCATAAGTATATAAAAACTATTCTAAATATGTTGGGAGTGTCATCAAAACATTCTGTGAAGGATGGAAAATAGTGAATTGGTAAAGTGAGATGTACTTTTGATTTGGAATAGGAATGGCTTCCCATAGGAGTCATTTAGAACAACTGGATCTGAAGCAGCCGGCTGTTGGAAAGTCTGGATTCTGTATTTGAGGCAGTGAGAACAGCACAAAGATTCAAAGGTGGCAACAAGTCTGACATATTATTGGAAAACTATCTGCAGGGGGAGTGAGAGAAGGAAGTTAAAATGAGATCAGAGGTCTCGGAAGGAGCTAAACCAAGTGCATTGGGAAGTTGGGAGACCCATGTTAGTATTTAGCCAACATACATTAATTGGTATACATCATAAAATTAGTCCAGTAGCTCTGGTGGTGTATACTTCCTCACAAGGTCTAACTGCTTAGATTGTATCAATTTGCTCTGATTTATTCTCTTGGCACTTACTATTTTAGTTTATTTCAGTAATTGGTTCCTTGCTAATTGTATTACTCTGGAAAATAAGTCCCTTGAGAACAGGGACTGGAGCTTATTTACAGTCATACTTCCTGTTTGGATCCCTTGGCAGATTAACCTTTTAGCAGATGAATGCACTGTTGATCAGAAGGGAATTACAGTGCCAACAGCAGCAAAGGAAGTGTCTTAGTGCTGCTAAGTCACTACCATCATTGTTTGATACAACATACAAGGCAGTGTAAAAGTAATATTTTCTAATAGAGTATAGGGCAATATAAAACTGATTCTGGTAGATTGTTTTTGTAATTAGCTGAGTCACCTTAAGGTAATGATTTAGTTTATCTGTCAATTTCAATATAATAAATACTTTTGAGAGGCAGTTTTATGTTGCATTGTTCCATGACCTTTTCACCTGTAAATCTGGTATTCATAAGACTTTTGCCTTGGAGACTCTACATACTATCATCCTCACTTCCAGTTAGATTTTTCAGTAACTTCTACTGTCTGGAACAAAAAACCAAAGCTTATGAAAAGAGGGTCCTATGTGCTGAGGAAAGGCGCCATCAGAAATCTTTCACACCTTACTTGTGGGAACCAACTTTATTCCATGGCCTATTGATTTAGAATTGTATGAGAATTAGAGTTATCAGGTGACATTGACCTAAGAAGAAATGGGCAAGAAACAGCTTCACAGAGGGAAGAGAAAGGAAAGAGAGGCAGAGATAGCAGAGAGAGATAAAGGCCGGGGACCGTGGAAGGCTATTGCTGAGTTATTGTCAAACATTACAGAAAATTCTCCTTGGCAGCCTCCTGATTCTGGCCACCTTCATGACTGCATGCAATGCTGAATGCTATGTCATACCTTTGGAGAAAGTTCAAGATGGTTCACATACTGAATGCAAGGAAGTTTATGGAGTCACACACTCTTTGAAATCACATTGCAGGACTTTCCACTGTGATGATTGTTTGTGTGAAGAAAATGAAATAAGCTGCTGCAAATTAACTCCTATACCTGTGGACTATGACAGAACTATGTGCCATGTCACCTTCCACAGGAACAATGCACCTATTCTGTTATGGAGTACAGGGATCCCCAAAAGGCCTATGCTGTTCATACCTGGGTATTATAAAGTCCTCCAGCAAGCTCCCAGGACAGGAACCCTTGTGCTGTAGCTTCTGATAGTCTGTGATTTTGTAATGGTACCCAGCAATAAAATTGTTTCTTGAGCAAAAAAAAAAAAAAAAAAGAATGTAGAGTTGTCAATATAACAAGTTTGAATATCTATTTTTTTCTGTCATCTTCATTTTTTACTATGTAACAGATGAAAGCTTGCGGTGGAAAACTGCCAGGTTAATGTTCTGAATTGGCAGCTGGCTGGGTGTGGTGGTTCACACCTGTAATTCAGCACTGTGGGACATTGAAGCAGGAGAATCTCAAGTTTGAGCCCAACCAGAGCAAGTTACCAATTTACAGCTAGAGATGTAGCTTAGTGTGAAGAACTTGTGTTCAATCCCAAATACCACCAAGGAAAAAAAAAAAAAAAGAAAGAAAGAAAGAAAGAAAGAAAGAAAGAAAAAAAGGTGGCCAGGCATGGTGGCGCTTGCCTATAATCCCAGCACTCGGAGACTGAGGCAGGAGGATTGCTGCCAGTTTGAGGCCAGTCTGGACAACAAAGTCAGTTCATGGCCTGCCTGAACTGCATAATGAGTCCCTGTCTCAAAAAGACCAAAAAAAAAAAAAAAAAGGTATATTCCAAATCCTAGAATCATTATTCCTGCTGGTTAAATATTATATATCAACATGTTTTAGGAAGAATTAAAAAATGGTAGGCCCTTATTTGATTAACTGATATCTCTATAGTAAAATGTCATAATTGCTTCAGTTCCTTAAGTTATTGTTTAAAATGAAAACATGTCCACATTTAAGCACCCTGATTTCCACCCACAGAATATAGCAGAGGCTGGAATTCAAAATACTTTTGTCTTGCAGTATTATTACAGCAAACTGAGTACATAAACCAAGTGTTATGGATCAATTGTGTTCCAAAGTCTTATTTGGAGATAAGACCTTGAAGGGAGTAATTAAGATTAAATCATATGATTTCATATGGGTGGGATGCTGATCTAGTAGAGTTAGTGTGTTTATCAGAGACACCTGAGAGTTGACTCTGTCCAAGAAAGAATGGAGAAAATCCATAAAAGGATACAGTGAGATAGTGGCCACCTACAAACCAAGAGAAGGTGGCTGAGAACAAAACTTGTATAGCTATCACTTTGATCTTGTACTTCCCAGCCTCCAGAACTGTAAGAAATCAAGTTTTGTTAAGCCACTCAGAAATTTATAGTATTTTATTATGGCAGTTTGAAGAGACTAAAATGGAAGGTGTTAAAGAGATTTGTTGCCCGGCGTGGTGGTGCACACCTGCAATTCCAGCACACTAGAGGCTGAGGCAGGAGAATGGCTGCAGGTTCAGAGCCAGCCTGGGCTACATAGTGAGTTCAAGGCTAGCCTGAACTACTGTACATAGTGAGATCCTGCTGAGAGAGATTTGCTGCATGGAGCCCTGAGTTTAAATTACAAAGCTGGGTAACATTTTTTTAAATATTGGTATATTTACTAAAAGTTTAATCTACATTAATATACATACTGGGATTACTACATTTAATCATTTCATGAATAATTAAATTCTCAATTTTAATTTATAATGTGGCAAAATAAATCAATAGACATAACCTACATAAAAATTATTTGGAGTCTCAATAATTTTTTTTAATCTTTTTATCCATACCGGGAATCGAACTCACAACCGCCTGCTTGCAAGGCATGTGCTTATGCCACTGTGCTAAATCCCCAGCCCCTGGATTCTCAATAATTTTGAAGAAAGGAAAGAAGTGATGAGACCAAAAGTTTTGAAAATAATATTTATTCCTCTCTTGTTACTCATTGTTAGATGACTGAGGATTATGTAATGCTTCCATTGCCTGGAACAGACTGGACAGCTTTAGTGGGTTGAATAAGTAATGTACTCCTAAAATATTTGTGTCTACCTGGAACCTCAGAATAAGATTTTATTTGGAAATAGAGTCTTTACAGTTGTAATTAAAGATCTTGAGATGAAATCATCCTAAATTTAGACTGGGCCCTAAATCCTATGACTGTTGGCATGAAGAAAAAAATAGTGGGGGCGGGGTCCTGCACATCTAGAGACAGGGATGGCCATATAAAAGTTGGTGACTAAAGTTCTGTTACCAACAAGCCAAGCAGCACCTGGGATGAACATAGTTAGGAAACATTATGAAGTACTCTTGCCTAAAACCTCAGAGGGAACATAGTCTTATTCACATCTTCATTGTCCTCCAGAATTGTGAAAAAATAAATTCCTGGCATATTCATGCATCAAATTTATGGTGATTTGTTATGACAACTTTAGAAAACTAATACAGCAATCTTTGGATATAAGTCTGAGGAGAAAAGATAGGAACCCTTACCTCTCTTTTCACTTACCATCTTCCTTTTGGGGAGGAACACTTTCTCTTTGGAATTACCTATCTCTGCCAACAATCTCGTAGTACCCAAGAAGTCTTAGAGCTTCCTCTAAGGGTCAGGAAGCAAAGCATCTGATTAAAAAATGTAAAGATGAGCATAAATTTAACCTAAAAGATAATTAGGGCTTCATATTTTAGGAAGAAGTAGTTAAACTAGAAGAATAGTAATTGGCAAGATAATTTAGAAGGAATATTGATAACTACTAGATTGACTCATTTGGTGAAGTGAGGAGGTTACTGAAATTAAATATTTGATGTGTAGCAATGTTTAGAGGAAAGTTAAAATAGCACAATGGATATTAATCATTAAATGGCCTTGACTATTTGTTGTCTATTATATACAGGTCCAAAAATTTATAGTTTTAATTCTTCAAATGATACTGGTGGTCCTGCAAATCTGGATAAATCTATTTTGAAAGTAAGTAACCAAGATTTTGAGCCATTTCAAGAGTAAATTTTTTTAAAATGATGTATCCTTAAATATAGAAAAACGATAGTATATTTTAAATAGTAATGGGAGAGCTATTCTTACTAAACAGAAGTAAATTCACACTTGTGTTGAGAGCCTCTAAGCAATTAAGGGAGTTCTAGACAAGTTCCAAATTTCTGAGCGTGACATATGCATGCTTTCAGATTTAACTTAGAATTCTTTTCCTTTCTTCGGTCTTCATTATTCTTCTCCACTTAAAACTTCAATTCATGGAACATTCTTCAAATTCCACATGATTTTATGACCTCAAACTTTCCCCCAATATGCTCTCTACCTAGAGTGTCTCACTTTCTCCTTTTTGTCATCTCTGTGACCCTCATGAAGTCCTACATAACTCACCTGGTCAGTTATCTTGGATCTGTCAGCACTTAGTGTATCATTTTAAAGCATTGTTGTGCTGGGGTATAATTTGTTTCTTTATATGTATTTCCTGGCTAGACTTTGAATTCCTAAAAAAAATTTTTTTATATTTCATGGTAGGCATTCAATTAAAAGGTGATAAAATGAAGTCTTTTTGTTGGTAGAAGCTTGTGTATTCTTAAGTTAAAAATATGGAAAGAACAGTACATAAGTAGCTGATAGAAGAGAGAAATGCCTGGGTCAAAAGATTTTGTGTTACTGATTAGTACTATAGAGAGATATAATTTTTACTTTTACTTGATGTTACCCTTTTGTAGTGTAGCATTCATTCTGACAGGCTTTATGCTCATATTGGTTTACATTAAAGTAGATTTCTGGATTTCACTCCCAAGGATTTTGATTCAGTATGTTTAGGGTAGGGTTTAGTAATCTATCTTTGTTGTAGCAACTCAAGGATGATCCAAGGAAATAGTCTTGAGACACTGACTATAGAACCTTTACATGAGGGATTTCTTTTCCATATGTCATCATTGCTGTTTTCCATATTCCATATTTTTTAAGTAGGTATTCAAATGAATGGTAGTCGAAAGAAAAAAAAAATACCTGCGGTTAGCTGAAAACTTGGGCTCGTTTGACAGGAATATAAAAGCTGAGTTTTCTTCTAATTTTTTTAATAGTTTAGCTTCTAATTGCTGTAATGGTTCTGGCTTCAACAGGTGGTAATTAATAACAAGCTAGAGCAAAGAATTATTGGAGTGATCAATGAACATAAAAAGCAAAATAATGACAAAGGGGTGATTTCTGGAAGACTTACTGCCAAAAAATTACAGGTATTTTGCAAACTTTTTAAAGTTTCTTATGGGGGGCATTTTTGAAACAGCTCCATATGAGATGAAAATTGTTTTGTCAGCTTCCATTAAGATCTCATGTAGATGGCCTGCATGTCCAAGGACAGAAAATTGTGCCTGATATAATTTCACACAATGAAATCATGATACAAAAACTAAATTACATTTCCCAAATTACATTATATGTTTAACTCTGCCAGGTACTTTACTGACATTTCTAATAATTTGAAAGGATGCGTATGTTGTAATGTTAAGTGAAGTATTTTATACAAAATTAAAATAATGAAAGTGAACATACTACATTAAAAAGAGTATCGTTAGGTTATTAAAAAACATTTCTGTAGTTCCCAAACTCTCATTACATTGAACACATTTAGCTTTTTTATTTGGAGAATGGGAAAATGTATATAGATGTTTTTCTCACTGTATGTGTGCGCGCGTGCATATGTGTGAGTAGTGCTGGAGCCTGAACACTGAACTCCAGACCTTGTGCATGTGAAGCAAGCACTGTACCACTAAGCAACACCGCCTCTCCACTCTCCACCAAAAAGCTATTTTAAAATTAGAATTTGGTCAGAGTTTCTGGTTTAAAATAAATGAAAGTAAAATTATGTATAAAAGAAGAGAAAATTGACAAATGAGAGTTATGTTTTCTTTTCATAGGATTTATACATGGCATTACAAGCATTTTCATTTAAGACTAAGGACATTGAAGATGCCATGACCAATACACTCTTGCATGGAGGCGATCTTCATTCTGCTTTGGATTGGCTCTGTTTAAACCTTTCAGATGGTAAACAATATTGTCATTAAATTCTTCCAGTCTCTAAAACAGTTTGAAATAGCTTCAGTATTTGTATCATCCTTTTTGATTTGTGCTTAAAACTTTTCATTATTATTATTTACTTCTTAAATATTCTTAATTCTTTTCATTATACTCTTTATAAATGTTGTGGTCTATGAAGGAAATTTATTTTTTGTGTGTTGTTTATAAACAGTTGTTAGGGCTTGGGATGTAGCTTAGTGGTAGAACTCTTGCCTTGCATGCACAAGGCCCTGGGTTCAATTGCTAGCACCACAAAAATAAGTAAATAAGTAAAATTTAAAAATAAATAAGCACTTGTTTATAGTCATTTTACAATACATCTTTTCAAACTTTGCCTGTCTGATACCTATTAGGCTTTGTCTTCAGGGTTTTGATTTAGAAATTAGGGCTGTCCTTGGATATTAGCATTTGATGAAATAGGCATGGTTTTAATCTTTTGCAAGCATCTAGACTACAGATAGCTTTTGTGATAGATTAAAAATACTACCACAAACACTCAGTACTAACACAATACTAACACAAACACTGGCTGAGGCAGGAAGATTGCTGCCAAGTTCAAGACCAGCCTGGGCTACAAAGTGATTTCAAGGCCAGCCTGAACTGCATAGAACAACCCTGTCTCAAAAAGACAAAAACAAAACAAAACAAAAAAGAATACTAGAACCATTCAAGAGATGCAAATTAAAACAACACTGACATTCTACCTTACTTCAGAAATAATGGCTGTTATCAAGAAGTCAATTGATAACAAATGCTGAAGGGACTATAAGGAAAAAGTAACCCTTCTCCACTGTTAGTGAGAGTATAAACTGGTGAAACCACTGTGGAAATCAGCGTGGAGATTGCTCAAAAAACTAGGATTAGAGGTCCTGTTCCACCCAGCTATTCCCCTTCTGGGTATATTACCGGAACAATTAAAAACATCATACCACATATATGCACACCCATGTTCATAGCAAAACAGTTTGTAATAGCTAAATCTTGGAAACAACCCAAATGCCCATCAACCGAGAAATGGATAAAAAAACATGAGTTTTTTTTTTAATACACTGGAGTACTACTCAACCATAAAGAACAATAAGCTTGAAACATTTCAAGGAAAATAGATGTACCTTGAGACCATACTTTTAAGTGAAAGATGTCAGTCACCTGTGTAAATATCACATTGTTTCTCTGATATGAGAAACCAAAGTGTAAGTAAGGACCAAAGTGTATAATGGGTATTGTGAAATAGGGACAAATTATTCAAAAGAAAGGGGAACTAGGAAGGATAGAGGAGGAAAGACAGGAAGGGAAAAAAAAAATGCTAACAGAAGCATAAATTAGGAATAAAGTTTGTAAATAAGGAGAGGAAGCAGTGGTTGAAGAGAGAAGACAAGATTGGAGAAAAACTAGAGTAATCAAGATACCTTATGTTTGGTGGTTTGTCTATCTTGATATCAATGCCGGTTTGTCATAATTGGTGTAACTTTGTAATAAGTTGTGGGACTGCGGAGGGTTGGAGCTCTAATTTTGTTCCTTTATCAAAGTTGTTCTGAGTCTTTTGTATTTCTAAAGAAATGTAAGAATCAAAATGTTAATTTGTATGAAAAATGTTGGTATTTTGATAAGGGATTTTTTTCTGATCTTTATTATTTTGCTTGTTTTTGGTTTTATTTCTAATTTCTTAAGGAAAGATATGAGGATATGTCATACCTTTCTTCTTTTCTAATAAATGTACTTGGTGTTAAAAAAAAGATATCTCATATGTAGCTACAAATTTCCTATGATGAATATGATCGTTATGTATATCTAAATTGTACCAATAAATTTAATAATAATACAAGAATACTACCGTGTGCTATTACAAAGCCAAAGAATGGGGGGGATTTTTTAATGAAAATTTAGGAGCCTAATACAGTGAGGGTGAAATAAGTGGCAAATAAAGTATGAGCTAGCTATCATCTTATGAATGTGCCCATTTCTAACACATGCATCAGGTTCATCACAGGATTTCTAGGGAGATGAAGAATAGAAGAAACATGGGTACACTACGTTGTGGCAGGGCTTTATGTGTGCTTAACAAATATTTGTGTATTTTATGTATTATATGCATGTTTATGTTTAATACCGTTTGTTTTATCTTAAGATGCACTTCCTGAAGGATTCAGTCAGGAATTTGAGGAGAATCAACCTAAAAATAGGCCAACGTTTCAGTCTCCTCAAATACAAGCTACTGTTTCACCTCCATTGCAAATTAAAACCAAAAAAGCGGAAGACCATAAGATTAAGGTAATTGAAGAATTAAACTTATAAAGCTGTATATAATCAGAAAGAAGCATAAGAATATGGAGGTTTCTATAATATTGTTATTTCTTAAAAATCAATGTTTTACCAAACTTTTCTATTACTATCTCAGTTTTCTATTACTGCATACTAACCATCCCAAATGGCTATGGTTTGAACTAACAGTGTATTATTTCTGATGATATTGCTGTCTGGGCCATGCCTAGCTGAACATTTCTGTCCCTAAGAGGTTACCTGCTAAGGCTCCTTACTCACATGACTTGGGACTCTCCCAGAGACCAGCAAGCATCCTTTCTCTATGTGGTCATTTTGTACGATTAGCTTGGACTTCCTCCCACATGATGGTCTCTGAGGAGTCAAACTTGTAACATCAATGCTGTGTTAAATAGTTGTTATATTATTTGGGAAACATGACAAGTAAAAGTTATATGTTTGGTATAGATACAGTGTTTTTCTAGATATTTTGTGAAGGTTGGTTAAGTCCACAGATATGGAGAACCAACTATACATAAAAATGGTGAGCCCTGGGGTATAAATTCTTATCAAGCATCTGCATTGGTTGACACAATTCACGTAGCCAAGGCCTGAGTCTCTGAAAGAGTTATAGGAGGACATGGCTACTGGGAGGTATAGTTCACTAGGGCATTATATCCTTATAACACTTCTGTTTCCAAGGGATAAACTAGTTTTTAACAATATTCCTTTTATTCCATTTATCCCTTTATGCACACATTGGATCTTGCAAGTTTAGATTTCTTAAAATAGTATTGCATTTAGTTTATCCTTCACTGAATAATAATGAATATGATTTAGGTACTTTTATGTGTCAGCTGTTTTTTTAGCAAAAATTATAAAAGCAGGCCCTTGATAGTTTTGACGTTTTCTAACTTCAGCTTCCAGATTGTTTTGTCTTTCTAGCCAAAAAAGGAAGAAAAAAATGTGGAAGTAAATATGAAAGAGTGGATTCTGCGATATGCTGAACAACAAAGTGAAGAAGAAAAGAGTGAAAATTCTAAAAGTTTAGAGGAAGAGGAAAAATTTGACCCTGTGAGTATAAATGTATATTAGGATTCTAGCTGAATATTCTCATGCAAGATATTTAACTTCTGTGGCCCTTAGTTTCTTCATTTATAAATTGGATAAATGCTTACAGGGATTGATATGAAAATTAACACATAAAAAAATTGGACCCTGGGATAGTTATGTATGCCTGTAATTGCAGTTATTTGAGAGTCTGAGGTGGAATAATCACAGGTTTGGAGGCAGCCTGAGCAATTGTTTGTGGTCTCTCTATATACTGTAGGCTGACCTTGAACTTGTGATTCTCCTGCTTTCGTGTCCTGAGGGGTGGGATTATAGGTATGTGTCACCATGCCCAGCAATAAGATCTTGTGTATAAAAAAGTTAAAAAAAAAAAAAAGAGAGAGAGAGAATTTAGCCCAGTGTGTGGCACTGGATACAAAACCATTACCACTACCAAAAAAAAAAAAAAAAAAAAAAATTTATTTTGGCTCATGGTTTTGTAACAGCAAGCAGAAACACTGAAACAACACCCAGGATTTGGAGGCAGATTTATTTAACATTGAATGGGCACTGGATGGTCACTTGTCCCTCAAAATGTCAGACCTCAAAGGCCCAGAGAGGAAGATTTTTATGGGATTGTAAAAGTTGGAGTACAGACGTAGGGTACTTTTGCTGTCTTTGAGGTTCTGCAACCAGAAGCCAGTGACCAGCCTCTAGCATATGGGCCACTGGGAGAACATTTAAGATTTGGTCCACAACAATTCAGAAAGCAAGTTATAGGCAGAAAATATTGCAATACATATATCCGACAAAACATTTCTATCCACAATTATACAAAACTTTTTAAAGTCAAACACCTCACAAAAGTAAATATATGGTCAATACTAGTCATTGGAAAAAATAAAAATGAAACTACAAAGAGATATATCTCTTTGGCATCAAAATGGCTAACATTTAAAAGATCAGTAATACCTCGTGTAGGGAGCATGTGAAACAACTAAACATTCACACATTGCTGATGGGAATATAAAATATTATTACCACTAAAGTAAACATACCATTGCCAACTGAGGCAACAATTTCATTTATAGACATTACTTTAAAAAAATGAAAATACTTTACAGAAATACTTGTAGCAACTTCATTCACACTAGCCAAACACTGCAAACAACCAATATGTCCGTAAGTGAATGAATAATCAAATTGTGATAGAAGTTAAGGACAGTATATGTAATACAATGAATCCATTTGTATAAAAGAAAAAATATATACATAGACACACTTGGTTTTTTGAGACAGTCTAGCTGTATAGTTCAGAGTGGCCTCAAACTCAGCTATGTAGCCCAAGCTGGCCTCAAACTTTCTACCTCAGCCTCATGAGAGCTGGGTTTTAAGGCATGTGCCACCATGCTCAGCTATATTTACATACTTATATTTGAAATGATCTGCAAAAAAATTTTTACTAGTTATTAGGAGTATGATGGTAGGGTGCCCTAGCAACTATTTTTTTTTACTCTCCCATACATATAAGTTTTTTTTAAACAATGTGCCTATATTAAGATCATACAAATAAGAATCTTTAATGTAGTATAAGTCTACTTTGGGATTCAGAGAAAGAGAAGGTCTCCTTTGATTGGAGTGTTAGGTCAAAACTCAAATGAAACTTGAAGGCCACGTAAAATTTGAGTAGACAAAGAATGTTAGGAAGATAGTTCAGGTGAGTAAAATAATAGAAATAGGATATGGATATGGAAGCGAGCAAGGGGCTTTGGATATTATAAAAAGACATGCATATATTAAGGTAAAAGTTATTAGGAATAACAGATGAGTTTACTTGAGACTGTTTATTTTGATGGCTAGCAAATAAATTTGACAGATTTGAGGACAGGTAATTGACCAAAACAATTTGATATTTCAGGTCAAGTTTAACAGTTTTCAAAGGTGGTTTAGAATATTGAGTAGTATTTAAGGTGATTTGCAAAGCTATTCATTTTAGTAGCTACTGCAATGTTCAGATGTGAAATAAGGGCTTAAATTGGAAAGAGATATTTTAAAGCAAGAATCAACAAAAATTGGTTATTTACTGAATATAAGGGCTAAGGAACTTTTCTTTTAAAAATGTGTACAGATAGTAAGCACATAAAAAGATGCTCTACATCAGGAATTATTAGGGAAATGCAGATCAAAACTTTATCAAGATGCCACTTTTCATCCATTCTGATGTCTATCAAAAATAGAAAAAAAGAATGTTGGAAAGATGTGGACATTAAAATCTATGTACACTTTTAGTAGGAATGAAAAGTGGTACACCATTATGGAAAACAGTTTAGCCCTTACTCAGAAAATTAAAATTATAATTAACATATAATCCAAAAATTCCATTTTAGGATATAGTCTTGAAAAATTTAAAACAGAGCCTTAGAAGAAATATTTGTATACCTGTTTTGTATACCAGAAGCAACAGATTAGTAGATAAAAAAAGTATTATGTACAGACAGTGGAATAGGACTCAGCATTAAAAAGGAAGGAAATTTTGGGACATGCAACAACATGGTCCGACCTTGAGGACATACTAAATGAAATGAACCTATTATTGTATGATTCCATTTATATGAAAGTAGTCCAGTTCATATAGATGGAAAGTAGACTTGTAGTTGCTGGGGGTAACAAAGGAAGGGGTTACTATTATACTCCATAAGCATTTCATTTTTTGCCACATAAAAAGAATTTTAAGCATAGATTGTGATTGTGCACCAATATAAATGTGTTTAATGCCACTGTATACTTAAAAAGGTTAAGTTGATAAATTTTATGGGAAAAATATTATTAAGGAGCCAAATACAGGATACAGAGGTGGAGGAATAGTGGAATCAGTGCCTTAGGAAGATGTAAAAGATGACTGTGGTTTTGGTGGATTTGAGGAAATAAGCTTCCTGTTGTGCAGCTTTGATGTTTGCTTTAATACACAGTCGTCCCACAATTCAGCTACATGGACTTGTTTAGTTGCCTTTTTTTCCCATTCTTTTTAACACTTGTATTTCAAAGCTGCACTGCATGTGCCACGTCTTTATGATTATAATCTACTGTCATTTATTAACCTGAGGAAATAAAACAGTAATTTGAATGTAACTTTCAATTCTTTCTAGGTTTTGCTCTGCAGAATCATGTTCTTTGAATTTTGTGATATTCTTTTTCCTCTGAAGCTTTATTGTTTTCTTTTTTGTCCTATTTTCCCATTGTTTTATTTCCGTATACAAATTCTTAAAAGTAGATTTTTGGGATCAAAGAACAAAGTTAGGTCGTAGGAGTTTTGTTTTGTTTAGTTTTTTTGAATTGGGGGGCCTCATTAAGTTGCCCAGGCAAACCCAAACTTAAAATCCCCTACCTCAACCGCACAAGTATCTGGGATAATAAGCAAGTCACCACTATGCTGATCTAGACCATAAGTTTTGATATAATATATTGTCTACAGATAAAGTAATCTTGTTCTTTTTATTTCTTCCTCATTTGGAACAGAATGAAAGGTACTTACATCTTGCAGCAAAACTTCTGGATGCAAAGGAACAAGCAGCTACCTTTAAACTAGAAAAAAATAAGCAGGGCCAAAAAGAGACTCAGGAAAAAATAAGGAAATTTCAGAGAGGTAAATATTTTCAGATTCTTAGATATAGAAATGTTACTGTCTTTTCAAAACTCATCTATTCTTTCTCCTAACAGTTTACATCTGAGTTTTGGCATACTTTGTCGTAATGACCAAATGAAATTATATACTCTGTGGACCATACACATTACTTCTCAACTCTGGTGTTATAAACAAGAGCAACCATATACAGTACAGAAATGAATGGCTATGTCCTAATCAAACTCTATGGACCGTGAACTATAAATTTCATATAATTGTTACATATGAACAAATATTTTTTAGTTTTTCGCCATTTGAGTATGATGGACAATATTCTGGTTTACAAGCCATACATAAACAGGAAGTGCAGTAAGTCTGGCCTACATGCAAGTTTGCCAGCTCCAGATTTATCATAAAATACTGTCCTTATTGAAGAAAGAGATATGAATATAATCTCATGAGTATTTCAAATGAATTTTTAAAGTCTACTATGTCTATTAAATACTTTATTTTTAAAGGTTTATATACATTGTAAAAGCTAATAAATTACTTGTGACTTTTAGCATAGATTTCTCATAGGAACTGTTAAATTATTGGTTACAAGGAGGAAAAAGAAACGATGTTTTTGGAACTACTTTTACCAAGTATTAAGACATAAAAAACAAATACATTGCTAAGTGTGATAGCACATACCTGTAACTCCAGCACTATGGGAGACTGAGGCGGGAGGATTTCAAGTTTGGGCTAGCCTGGGCAACTCAGTGAGTTTCTTTTTCAAAATAAAAAAAGAAGTAGAGATACAGTTTAGTGCAAAGGTCCTAGATTCAATCCCCAGCACTACACATAAACTGAAGGAAGGAAGGAGGAAGAAAGAAAAGAAAGAGGAAGAAAGAAGAAAAAAGAAAGATAGATCATGAAATTAACATCTTTTTTTCTTGATAGAAATGGAAATTTTAGAAGACCATCCAGTATTCAATCCAGCCATAAAGATATCACATCAACAAAATGAAAGAAAAAAGCCTCCTGTAGCCACAGAAGGAGAAAATACTTTGAACTTCAATTTATTTGAAAAGTCTATACCTGCTGTGGATGAAGAGAAAGGTTAAATGAGGGAAAGTGGTTGGGTTGTAATTTATGACTCAATATCCAGTAAAATGTTATTACTAAGCTCATTACTTCGTATTTTGGCAAACTAAGATGGTAGTAAAGTTATACATTCATAAGCTTTGTTTAAAAAAGAAGACTGTTCCCTATAATGAAGGTGGTCATTTTGTATACCTTAATTGTACCAATAAACTTTTTTTTTTTTTTTTTTGTCTTTTTCCTTTTTATCGGTACCAGGGATTGAACTCACGACTACCTGCTTGCAAGGCAGGTGCTTATGCCGCTGAGCTAAATCCCCAACCCTGTACCAATAAACTTAAATTTTAAAATAATTAATTTTTTTTAAAAGCCAGGCCTGGCGGTGCATGCGTATAATCCCAGCATTTGGGAGGCTGAGGCAAGAGAATCACCGTGAGCTCAAGGCCAACCCTGGGCTACGTAGTGAGTTAAAGCCAGCCTGTACTACACAGCAAAAGACTGTGTCTCAAAAAAACCAAAACAGGGCCAGGGGTTTAGCTCAGCAGAGTAAGTGCCTGCTTGGCAAACACAAAGTTGTGAGTTCAATCCCCGGTACAAAAAAAAACCCAAAAACCCCACAATGAATTAAAAAGTAATAACAATTAATGTAACTAACTTGTATAACAATTTGTAATTACAAATACCTTGTCGCCTAGTCTCATCTGTCTCCAGTCTATTCTCCAAACTCTTTACCGGTTATCCTTTTTGCTTTTAACATGCTAGAGATCAAACCTGGTATCTCACTTATGCTAGGCAAATACCCTACCACTGAGCTATATCCTCACCTATCCCTTCCTATTAAGAACCTTTAATGACTCTGAGCCTAATGACATCAGTAATATGGCCAAATTTTTTATCATGGTATTCAAGATCATTTGCATCCTGCTACAATTTATCTTATTACCTCATTTTCCAACTATGTACATCATTCTTCAAAACATTTATTGTTTCACATCCCATTACATCGCTCATCCTGCTACCCTCTCCTGTTGGCTAACCTGTCCCTATGTTCAAGTAACTCAAATAGCACTTCTCCTTTAATTGTTCCCTTTTTCAGTTGTTCCCTAGTTGCTTTCATACCATCAGATGTAAATGATCATACATTTCTCTGAGTAAATTATTGGCACAGGTGATATATTTATCACATTGTATTATAATTCTTCCTGTAATATTTCTTGAATCCTTGTCATGCAAAATTACAGTTACTCTATGTACAGTAATGAAGAAGATAATGCAATTTCTGCCATGTTGTTGTGTATAGCCTTAAGTAAAGTGAGCTTTAAATATATACAAAAAATATAATTTCAAATTGTGATGTATACTATTAAGAAAATTGGCTTTTAATAATAGAAATATCAAGGTGGCTTTTTTGGTTTTGGGAGGCCTTGCAAATCTATCAGATGATTAGATGTTACCCTGGTGACAAGTTGGTGGAAAGATCCTCCAAAGAATAGAGATAGTAGATTAGAAGGCTAAAGTGAAAGCTGGATGTGGTATAGCACTCCTATAATCACAACGGTTGTGAAGGCTGAAGCAGGAAGATCTCAAGTTTTAGCCAGGTCTTTGCACATACGAGCTTCAGTACTCTTGTCTGTAAGCTACATCCCAGCCCCACATTACCATTTTTAAAGAATCCATCTTTGTCTTTTTAGATAAAAAGAAGGACACCCATGATGTAAGAAATTTTGACTATACTGCTCGAAGCTGGACTGGAAAATCTCCAAAACAATTTCTGATTGATTGGGTCAGGAAGAATCTTCCCAAGAGTCCAAATCCCTCCTTTGAAAAAGTTCCAGTAGGTCGATACTGGAAATGTAGGTATGTTTTCTGCTTAACTGAGAGAACTTCTAAAAAGTATAAGAAAATCTTTTTTTGTTTCAAATGAGTTAAGTAAACATTTAGGAAATGCTAATTCCACATCTCAGGACTAAAGTGCTTAGAAATCATTACTGAATACACAATACCATTAGTGGAAATATTTAAATAATTCATGTAAATGTAAGTTCAGTGTTAATAGATTTCTGACTGTATTGCTCTGAACTATTCAATTTAAAAACAAAATTTTTGTTTCTTTCTTTGTAGAGTAAGGGTAATCAAGTCTGAAGATGATGTCCTTGTAGTATGCCCTACTATCTTAACAGAGGATGGCATGCAAGCTCAGCACTTGGGTGCTACATTAGCACTTTATCGTTTAGTGAAAGGGCAGGTAAGGTTTTTTTAGATTAGATCCTTCAAAAATATTTGTGAACGGATGGATTTATAGGTTGAGCATTGCTAATCCAAAAATTACAATTCTGAAATGATGTAAAATGAGTCTTTTTTTTTAGCGCTGACTTGATTCCACAAGTGGAAAATAGCACACTAAGAAACTCTCATGAGCAAAATTATTTAAAGTATTGTAAAACTGTATATATGAAACATAAATGGATTTTTATGGTTAGACATAAGTCCTATCTCCAGGATATCTCATTACATTTGTATAAGTATTCCAAAATCCAAAGCACTTTTGGTCACAAGTATTTTCCATAAGTGATACTTAACTTGTCTTAAAACTGTACATAAAAATGTATGTATGAAAAAAAATGTATGTGTATGAAAGGTACTATTTATTTATGGCCCTCTGTGCCAGTTTTCTTTTTAGTGACCACTGCTTCTGATTATTTCTTCATTCTTGATTATTTATAATTTGGCTTCTTTTTACCCTTAAACACAGCTCAGTCTTTTCTTGTCTTAGGCTGGAGGTCTGAAAGAGACTATTTGATTGATTGAACTTTTTGGCTGTACTAATTTACAGATTTAAAATACTTGTGCAGGGCCAGGGGTTTAGCTCAGTGGCATTAGTGCCTGCTTGGCAAGTGTGAGATCATGAGTTTGATCCCCGGTACCAAAAAAAAAACCCAAAAAACCAAACTTGTGCAACGTGATTGAATTAAAGATGATTTTTAAAGTTTTATTTTTCTGTTACATTGTCTTTCAACTTTAAAACACTATTGACAGTGGTTCTGTTTTTCAATTAGATTATAATTAGCACACAGTTCCAGTTTAAGATAAGATTAAAGTACTACTAGAGAAAGCTCTTTTAGAGAACACAGTGTTTTTTTTAAATTTAGATTGTCAGCATTTCTCTTTTATAATAAATGTGTATTTTTTTCCTAAGAAGTTATAACCATTGAAAAATTTAGATGCTAGTTTAGTGGAAGTCTAAATAATAGTTCTTTTTCAATTTCTGCCAATTGAAGTTCTTAAGATCTGTCATTTTGCAAAAACATTTATCATAAACCATATTTAGTGGTAAAAGTAACTATCAGTGTTAGAGATCCTTGTGAGTTCTTTTACAGCACAAAATTAGAATAAATTAGTTTCCATCTATTGTGGTTCATTTTAGAGTATTTTGACCTATAATATACAACTGTCAAAATCTCAAAGGTTGCCTTGTACATTTAAAAAGTGTTTTACAGGTCTACATTTTATATAGCACCCCTGCAGAAGCAGATAATAAATATTTACTCAATAATATTTGAGTCTATGAATAAGTACTTCACATATACTATCTTAAACTTAGCCTCAGATGATATCTGTGGGGAAAGTACTATTTATTATTACTTGCTTTTAAATACAAAAACTGAGGCACCCAGAAATTTAAGTTACTCACCCAACTTCATGTAACTAGTAAATCAAGAGATTTATATTGAATGATACATTGTTTATGAATTTGTATCAGTGTACATATATATTAAAGTAATAACTTACTAGTTTGAGTCATTATATTTTAAGAGAATTATAACTGTACTTACAAGTTGTAATCTATTGAATTTTGATATTCAATAGTGACAATAGAATACTGCCATTTTTTTCCTTTGTAGTCCATTCATCAGTTACTCCCTCCCACTTATCGAGATGTTTGGCTAGAGTGGAGTGATGCAGAGAAGAAAAAGGAAGAATTAAATAAAATGGAAACCAATAAGCCACGTGATCTTTTTATTGCCAAACTTTTGAATAAATTGAAACAGCAGCAGCAACAACAGCATACAGATAATAAGAAAGAAAACTCTGAAGATCCTGAGGAATCTTGGGAAAATTTAGTTTCTGATGAGGATTTTTCTGCTCTGTCCTTGGAATCAGCAAATGCAAAAGATTTAGAATCTGTTAGAAATCTTTTTAGAAAGTTACAAAGTACACCTAAGTATCAGAGACTTTTAAAGGAAAGACAACAGTTACCTGTGTTCAAACACAGGGATTCAATTGTGGAAACCCTTAAAAGACACCGAGTAGTAGTTGTGGCAGGTGAAACAGGGAGTGGTAAAAGTACTCAAGTACCTCATTTTCTGTTAGAAGATCTGCTTCTGAATGAGTGGGAAACAAGTAAATGTAACATTGTCTGTACCCAGCCCCGAAGAATCTCAGCAGTGAGTCTAGCCACCAGAGTGTGTGATGAATTGGGCTGTGAAAGTGGACCTGGAGGAAGGGTAAGATATCATTCATGACAGCATTACTCATCTGCTCTTGGAATCCAAGTAGAACCTATACCATATACAAGTTCTGGTTGTTCAAACACTTTTCATGCTTTCTTTGATAGTGAGTTATGTATGCTGCTTTAAATGAAGTTATCAGTAATTCCTTCATTAGTATCTCATATAAAAGAAAACTATATTAGTTTTATAATTAAATGTTCAAATATATTAGCCACTAAATTGAACATTCAAAGAATATGTATAAGTTCAGATTTTACTCTAATATCATATGGCTTATGACTTTGTAAATCTTTTCTGTGGAATGCATTCCCAAATGATCTTCATTAATTTTCAATGAGGAGAATGGGAAAACAATGTAGGTTAATATACTAGACTATTTTTCAAACCCAATATTTTTAAAAAATGGTAAAAGTACTTAAAGATTAATTTTGTGTTTTGTGAACACAAAACTGAACAAATCTTAACCAGAGTGACTGTAGTATATAAGAATTCATTTAACTAAACTGGCTAGAATTAAATACAATGAATTATAGTTTTATGCTTTTTGGAGATGGCATATATTTTTGTAAGACTGTACCCTTTCATTAAAATTTTTTTTATTTAGCAAATTGATTTTCTATTAGGAAATAAAAGAGAACAAAAAGACACAGTTTCTACCCTATAAGGAATAACAGTCATATACACAACACAAAGAAATGAATTCAGGGAAAAGAAATAAAGTATGCTAGGAATGGATGGTACCCCAAGATTCCCAATAGGCACCACTGCTGTGGTACATCTGCTTTTAGTGGTAGCAGATTTACCAGATCTTCATCGAAAAGTAGACCAAGTTACAGAAGCTGCTGTAAAATTCTGTTCTTGAGTACCTTAATATTTTGCACTGAGATAAATTTTTTATAATCATATTAATAGTATGTGAAACCAGGTAAATATCTTTTAGCTTCAATGCCTTGAAAAGAATGAAAGCTTTTCTGTCTAAAATTATCAATACAAATGTTACACTTTTATATAAATGACAACCATGGAAAAGTATTTTTGATAATAATGAATTACACTAAATAAATTTACTTAAGATTGCTCCATATAGTAACAAAATCAGCACCTGTGCTTTACTTTCAACTTGTTTCCTAGATTGTGAGTCTCTACCCATGGCTTTGTGTTCTTCCTTCAGAATTCTTTATGTGGATATCAGATCCGGATGGAATCTCGAGCTAGTGAATCTACCAGGTTGCTTTATTGTACAACAGGAGTTTTGATAAGAAAACTTCAAGAAGATAGCCTTCTCTCTAATGTGTCTCATGTTATTGTAGATGAGGTGAGTAGATTCTATAGTTGCATTCAGTTAAATTCTAAACATTTTTATATTCAACTGATGTTACTTTTAATACTGCTTAAAATTTTCTTGGTTCATACTAAATGCCAGACATTTTACATAAAATTAATTTTATTTTCTCTAGTGATTGTCTGTTATTTATTCTATAAATACTGTAATATTTGCTACATGCTTGATGCTATTTGTGCATACACACACATGCATGCGCACGTGCACAAATTCATTTAATTCTTCCAGTGACCCAGTGAAGTACAGTTGAGGAAGTCAAAATACATAAAACTCAAATAGTTTACCAAATTCATATATCCAGTAAGTTCTGTATCTGAAAGTTCAATTCCAGGCATTCTAGTACCAGTCTATGCTTTTTTACTGGTCTGTTTCTCAACTACTATAGTTAGGTGTAGATGATCTGCTTTAACTCTTTTACAAGACCCAAAAATGTATCACTATTTCTTTTTTCTTTCAGCTATATACCTCTGAGTATACCTGGTATACCTTAGTGGTATACTAGCCTAGTCTTATAAGTTAATTTGCATGTGTATAATTTTTCAAGAAAAACTACATAGCATTTCTACTATTCAAAAATGATTAAAAGTTTGTCATATTAAGCTTTTTGTGAATGTTAATTCACTGAGTTCAGAAAGCAGAAGTGAAAAGTTTATTCATTTTATTTTTAATTTATAGGCTAAATATAGATTATTTGGTTACTTTTTGCCTTTTGTTTAGGAAATATTACAATAGAAAATTAAAATTTTCTATAACCTCATAATTCAGGAAAGAATAATGCTAATATTTAATTAATGTATTTATGTATGCATATTTAGAATGTCTGTTAACATCAGTGTTCACATCATTAGATGTTCTACAAAAACATACTTTTTTGTATACTTTGAATATCCCATGATTTATTGAACCATTTTCTTGTTGTGGAATATGGCTAGGCAATTTATTATTAAATAGTTAATTTTTGGTAATAGACAAATGATAGGAACTAATTTTTACATAGGATTTCTTTTTCCTTAATGAGGGAATAAGTCATACAGTTATCACTAATATGTTCAGAAAGAAAAGGCTGACGTTCTGCTTTAGCAGGCCCCCTCTCACCTCATTAAAGAGATACACATGGGATGCCATCTTAATTTTTCTCATTGCTGAGACAAAATACTCAACACCCAAAATTAAAGAAGGAAAGGCTTATGTAGTCATTAGTTTGTAGAGATTTTAGTCCATAATCAGCTGGTTCCAAGGTGGCATGGCATAGCAGAGGGGCATCACAGAAGAGGAACAGTTAATGGAGGGCAGAAGGCAACAAAGCAAGCATAGGACGACCACAGCTCTTTCTGCCTAATATTTTATCTAGGCTACTTTGGGTGGGTAGCACTCACACCCTTAATCCTAGTGCCCTTGATCCTAGCATTGCGCCATGAGTCAGTTCCAGCAACACACACTATAAATTCAGCTAACTCTGGAAAAACTCCACCTATGACCATATAAGACTTTGGGAGGAAACCTAAACACAAGTCATAACACTGCAGAGGAGAAGAAGTATCACAGGTATAGCTTCACATGGCTCAGACCTAGATTTTATCAGTGACAAGGGTCAACGTGAACCAAAGTACTAAAATATATTTCTAATGAGAAATTTGGGGGGCTGGGGATTTAGCTCAGTGGAATGACACCTGCCTGGCAAGTGTGAGGTCCTAAGTTCAATTTCTGGTACCCACCCCCAAATCTAATGAAAAAGTACTTTGGTTCACTATATACTTAAATACTGATGAACTTTTGGTAGATTTGTGTGTCAAATTATTTAATCTTTTTACTAGACCTTATGCATATGATTAATTTTTGAATTACTTTTGCATTAGGTTCATGAAAGAAGTGTACAGTCAGATTTTCTACTAAGTATCTTGAAGGAAATTTTACAGAAACGTTCTGATCTACACTTGATTTTAATGAGTGCTACTGTGGACAGCGAAAAGTTTTCTACATATTTCACACATTGTCCTATTCTCAGAATTTCAGGAAGAAGTTATCCTGTTGAGGTAAGTTGTTAGAGCATATTCACACCAGTTTCCCTAGAAAATAGGTCCTCATACTCTGAGCCCAGAACTATTCCTAGGATTCTACAAGTCAAGAGTGGACCTGAAGATGGCCATGAGAATCACATGCCTGATGCGACCTTGCCTAAGGGTTGATAGGATGGAAAGCAAAGTTCGGACAGCAGACCTGAGGGTACAGGACATCAAACATGTTCACATCAGAGTCATTACATCTACAGTGAGAGTGGCTACACGGCAATAAGGAACTCCTTTGTCACCTATCCTCAAATGTAGGGCAGTCTTCTAAGCTTTGTTTCTATTTTTAATGCTTTTTAGTTTAGTCTACTCTTAAATTTTAAAACAAGACCATAATGTGATTTCTCCTGAGACTTAGCAGCAGACTCATCTGTGTCAGCCAAGTTCTTCACTTTCAAAAAATACTAAGGAAGTTTTTTCCTAATAATCTTCTAAATTAGTTAGGTATCATTCAAAGAGCATCAATTCCCTGTTTAGAGTAATATTTACTGAAACGAATTTAGGTTTATCTATTTATTGCCTCGCTCTAGGTTTTTCATCTTGAAGATATAATAGAAGAAACAGGATTTGTACTTGAGAAAGATTCAGAATATTGTCAGAAATTTCTGGAGGAGGAGGAAGAAATAACTGTTAATATTACAAGCAAAGCTGGGGGAATAAAGTATCAGGTAAAAAAGAAAATAGTGTGAATGTTGTCTAGGGTATTGCCTACCACAAGTTTTTTTTTTTTTTTTTTTTTAATACTTACCAAGTTTACAATTTAGATATTCAGAATGATCACATTTATCACAGGGAATTTGTAACTGCACATGATGTATCCTGATTCCTCTTTATTTTTCCCCAACCCCCCTTCCTTCCATCTAAGGCCTCCTCTCCCCATTTATGAAAGCTTTGTTTCCATTATATCCTTCTTTTACTATTTTTTTTTCTTTTTCCTTCCTTCCTTTCCCCCTCCACCCTCCCTCGTTCCCCTTTTTTCTGAACAATTTCTTCCTATTTCACAATGTTTTTTATATTCTTTGGTCCTTATTTATACTTCTGGTTTATCATACCAGAGAAACAGTACAATATTTACACATGTGACCAATTTATTTCACTTGAGTATGGTCGCAAGGTGCATCCATTTTCCTAGAAATGTCTCAAGTTTATCCTTCCTTATAGCTAGTACTCCACTGTATAAAAAAAATGTTTTTTTAATCCATTTCTCAGTTGATTAGCATTTCAGTTATTTCCAAGATTTAGCTATTACAAACTGTTTTGCTGTAAACATGGGTGCACATATGACACTGTGGCATGATGTTTTTAATTCTTCTGGGAAGATACCCAAGTGGGGAGTAGCTGGGTGGAATCCTAGTTTTTTGAGCAGTCTCCATACTGATTTCCACAGTGGTTGCAACAGTCTACACTTTCACCAACAGTGGATGAGAGGGTTCCTTTTTCCCATAGCCTGGCCAGCATTTCTTATTGGTTAATTTCTTAATAATAACCATTATTTCTGAAGTGAGGCAAAATGTCAGTTTTGTTTTAATTTGCATCTCTTGAATGATGGTAGTATTCTTAATCTGTCGCAAAAGCTGTCTGTAGTCTAGGCACTTGCAAAGGATTAAAACCATGACTTTTATCAAATATTACAGAATACTATAATTTTCAATGTAGAACTTTTACTTCCTTTGTTAGATTGATTCCTAAGTATTTCATTTTTTTGCATGCTATTATGAAAGGTACTGTTTCCCTAATTTCTCTCTTAGTGCATTTGTTGTTAGTGTGAAGAATGTCATTGATTTTTGGGTGTTGACTTTATCCATCTATGAATTTGGTTATTAAATCTAGAAAAATTTTGGTAGAAATTGTGGGGTCTTCTATGTAGAGTATCATGTTTTCTGCAAATAATGATTCAGCTTCTTCCTTTCTTATCCTTATTCCTTTTTTCTTGTCTAATTGCTCTGGCTAATGTTTCCAGAACTGTATTAAGTTGGTGAGAGTGGACATCCTTGTCTTAGATTTTAGAGTGAAAGCTTTTGGCTTTTAGTCAGTTGCTATGATGTTGGCTCTTGATTTGTCACAGATGGCTTTTATCAGATTGAAATAAAGACCTATTCCACTTTCTTACAGGGTTTTTATCATAAATGAGTGTTTGACTTTGTTAAGTACTTTTTCTGTGTCTATAGAGATAACCTATGATTTTTGTCTTTGGCTCATTTGATATGGTATATTACATTTATTGATTTGTATAAGTTGAACTATCCTTGCATCTCTGGGATGAATCCTATTTGGTCATGGTGAATAATCTTCTTGATGATCTGCTGCATCCTGTTTGCCAGTATCTTAGGGAGAATTTTTACATCTATGTTTATTAGGGAGATTGGCCTGTAGTTCTCTTTTTTGTTTGAGTCCTCCTTTAATGCTTGCTTCCAGGAATGACTTTGGAATTGATTTCATTTAAGAGTTTCCTCAGTAGTGGCATTAGCTCTTCTCTAAATTTCTTGTAGAATTCAGCAGTGAATCCATCAGAACCTTTTCTTTATTGGTAAGTTCTTTATTATATTTTCAATTTCATTGACTGATACTGTGTTATTTAGAATTTTTATATCTTAATTCAGTTTTGGTGATTCATATGTATCTAGAAATCTGTTCATTTCTTTTGTGTTTTCCATCTTATTAAAGTACAGGTTCTCAAAGTAGTATTGATGATCTTCTGGATTTCCACAGAGTCTGTTACTATTTCACCCTTTCCATTCCTAATTCCGTGAATTTGAGTCTTTTGTCTTTTCGATAAGATTGGCTAAGCATTTATCAATTTTTATTTAATCTTTCAAAGAACCAACTCTTGGATTCATTGATTCTTTCTATTGTTTTCTTAATCTCAATGCATTGATTTCTGCTCTTTATAATTTCTTCCCTTGTACAAACTTTGGATTTGATTTGTTCTTTTGTTTGTTTGTTTTGGTTTTGGTTTTTTGGTGTCAGGGATTGAACTCATGACCTTGCATTTGCCAAGCAGGTGCTTATGCTGCTGAGCTAAATCCCTGGCCCCTTGTTCTTTTTTTCTAGATGTTTGATGTTCAACATTAGCTTATATGAGAATTCATGGCTATAAATTTCCCTCTTAAGACTGCTCTCATTGCATCCCATAAGTTCTGGTATGTTGTATTGGCATTATCATTTAATTATAGATACTGTTTAATTTCATCTGTGACCCATTGGTTTTTCAAGAGGGTCTTATTTAATTTCCAGGTTTGATATAGTTTTTCTGGTTTCTTTTGCCATTGATTTCTGATTTCATTACACTATGGTCAGATAATATGCAAGGGATAATTTCAATTCCTTAGCATTTACTTAATGTTCTGTGGGATAGTATGTATTCTGTTTCACAGAATGTCCTGTGTGCAGCTGAGAAGAATGTGTATTATGATGTTGTGGGGAAGAACACTCTGTAGACATCTACTGAGTCGATTTGTTCACAGGTTCCACAAGAGTTTTTAAGTCATATAGGTTTAAAAAAAAATCATATGGCTCACATTGGATTTGAATATAATTTGGAGGAAACAAATGTGAGTATAAGCAATTTCTTTAATCTTTGTTTCATAGATTGTAGTTCTAAATTTGTGATATTTTAATTGTCTTCTTATGTATTCTGGGCCCTTTAGATATACACATAAAATTAAGGACCATATAAATAACTTTGTAATAGAGCCATAGCAATATAATTTATTGAGGAGTAAATCTGTAGTGATTTTCTCTATTGTCTCATCACCATAGGTGGTCAAGATGATAGAGGCCCATGATCTAGTGCTATTGTTGTTTTTGTTTTTTTCTTTTCTTTTGAGACAGGGTCTCACTATATAGTTCAGGCTGGCTTTGACTTCACTATATAGCCCAAGTTGGCCTCAAACTTGGTGACCCTTCTGCCACAGTCTCTCAAGTGCTGGGATTACAGGCATGTGTCATCAAACCAGGTTTCCTAAAACCTAGATCTCTGTTACTGGTTTTCTTACCAGCCTCTCGTGGGAGAAGTCAATCCTAGCTCTATAGCAAAGCTGCTTAGGCATACAATTCTTTCTATGGAGTTAGTCTCAATTTCTTGTTTTAGAAATCTTGTAAAAGCCACATTATCCCACATTTTAGCCAGTGGTCCTAGAGACATTATTTCCATTATGTGTATTTTTATTTGTATTTTATGCATGTATGCAAACCCATGGAAACACTAGGTTACGATTACCTTATCATTCAATTAAACAGATAAACCAAGATATCAAGAACTATAATTTCACAAACCAAAGAAAAAATTCTGTGTGTGTGTGTGTGTGTGTGTGTCTGTGTGTGTGTGTGTGTGTGTATTTCAGAAGAGATAATTGGAACTTAGTAGCCAGAATAGACTATAGAAGAAATGAGACAAGTATATACTACCTTATGAAAGTTATGACCTCTCTTGCCCTGGTTGCTTTTTAATTGCCAAAGAGTAGTATAAACACAATTACCATGTTTTTCTAGTTTTTCTTTTAATGTTAACATGCCATGATAATAGGTCTTGCTTATAAGTGTTAGATAAAATTATAGCCGTATTTGAAATTTTGATAGTTTTTCTACTTTCAAAATAGTACTCTTGCATATTTTACTAAAATAATAATAACAGTGAAAAAAGGTCTGAATACTTGCAGATACTTCCTTTTTTTCCTTTTTCTAAAAACTCTTAATGCTCTATGGTTTTGTTCCTCTTTCTCTGATTTGGTTTCTTTTAGGAATATATACCAATTCAAACAGGAGTGAGTGCTGATTTAAATCCATTTTACGAAAAATATAGCAACCGTACTCAGCATGCTATTTTGTACATGAATCCTCATAAAATCAACCTGGATCTCATTTTGGAACTTCTTGTATATTTAGGTAATTTCTAATATGTGTCTCAGTGATATGTCATTTCTAGAAACTGCTGGTGTTTTATTAATATTTTGTGTGCTGTTTCTTTTGTTGAATATTGTACCTTTTTTCAATTTTAGATAGAAGTCCTCAATTCAAAAATATTGAAGGAGCAGTACTGATCTTTTTACCAGGCCTTGCTCATATTCAACAGTTATATGATCTCCTATCAAATGATAGAAGATTTCATTCTGAGAGGTAACTATAAGTCTTTAGTATATTCCTTATAATTTTAAAATAGAAAACATTTAATGTACTAAAACTCTTGTTCACAGTTTTGAAAGTCTTTTCACCTTTAAAATTTTCTATGATGCAGAGAGGTTTTATGCTTTTGTGACATTTCTGAAAAAGTTTTAGGTACTTATCTGCATGTTCTGTTCTCTTAATATGATTAAGCAAATCTTGGCATGGTGTTAACACCTATTAAATGCAGCATTTAGAGAGGCTGGAGGATTGCAAGTTCAAGTTCAGCCTGGGCAGCCTAGTGAGACTGTGTCTCAAAAGCAAAAGTAAACTAAAAAGGGCTAAGGACATAGCTCAGTGATAAAGCAGGAGAATCTTGTGGCTAAGCATAAAATGGTGGCTTCTTTCCCCATAAACACAGTGAATCATGCAAAACCCCATGAAGGTTGCAGGTTATCATTCATTTATGTGAAATCAACATTTTAACTATTCTGATATAGTTTATTAATGCTGTCATGGTTGTCCCATTAATATCTGAATATTTTTTAAATTTTTTAAGCCTTAGGTTTTCATATATAGCTTGGCATCCCTACTAAAAGTCAAAATTTGGTATGCTTCCAAATAAGAAACACTTCTGCAAGCTTTTCAGAAAGGGGTTATTCAGTATACAGTGCATTCATACTAACTTTTCTCTGTGTTGGGTGTATATGGGGTTTTGACCAGACTATTCTGTGAATTTCTGTTTTTAAATATTTCATAATAAAAACTTTACAGTTGCTTCCTATGTGCAAATAAATTTTGTTATTCTTTGCAGTGTCTTCTAAAGAGAAACTCTTGCTAAGAACTATGATTTTAACTTTCAGATATAAAGTGATAGCTCTGCATTCTATTCTTTCAACTCAAGATCAAGCTGCAGCCTTCACACCTCCTCCTCCAGGAGTCAGGAAGGTAAAATTCAGTACAGAACTTTCATGAAATAAGTGCTTTATAAAGCATGGCAGACTGCAAGTGCCTTGTAGCTTAACATGATCAGAAGTGAATCTAATACTAAAATTGAAGCATTTTTATATTATGTGCTATTCGAAGGATTAGACTCTTTTGGGGAGTGGTTGTTGAAAAATATGGCCTGACTTGCTTGTAAGAAACAAATTACTTTTTCCCAAAAGATCTTATGAAGGAAGTTGAATATTTGGAGGTATTTAAGTCTTGGCAGGATTCTTGATCTCTAAGCAGTTCATTCCTTATTATTTTTACAGTACCTAGACTCTTGGGTTATGGAACTACTCTATGTACTTTAATTGTATTTTCCATTCAAAGTGCTGAATGAAGAGATGCTTAGCAACAAATGTCTCTGAGAAGGGCAAAGCCCAGTGTAGGCACTGTGGGAACACGGAGCCATCAGATAAAACCCTAACTATAATGCACGAAGCCTGGGTGCTAGTCCCTAAACTGCCACACATCTGTATAGCCTTTGCCAGTTATTCAGCCTCACTTTTCTCCTCTTAAATCAGGGTTAAATTAAACTGATGCTTTCCTAACTCCAGGGATACTGACACTATGCTTTGGTAACATTTGTGCTTCCCTGTTGTGTTTGGGTTTTTTTATTTTGGTTTTTGTTTTCTAAGGAAGGAAGGAAGGAAAGGAAGAAATATAAAGAGAGAAATCTGAACACCACTGAAGTAGAATTACGACTCAAGTCTCATCTAGCTCTTAATAATCTGTATTCCATTTCTAGAGTAAAAGAATAGGTAAAGATATTATTCTGTACTGAAATACATCAGAGCTTAGTGGAGTTGACCTCAAATTTCCTAAATGTTTATCTCCAGGGATTCAACAATGATATAAAAAGTGCAGTAGGCTATACTATCAGTTATCACTGTTAAGAATTTTAGAGCTACAGTGGTATAAGCACCTGCTTGGCAAGGGCAAGGTCGAATTCAATCCCTGGTATAAAAAAAAAAAAAAAAGTTTTAGAACTAGCTACACCTAAGAAATCATGTATTTCTACCTCCTGATTTGCGCTGAAGTAATTGAGGCCCAGAGGAAAAGTGATGTGTGCAGTTTAACAAGTAACAGAAAGCCAGAACAGCTACCCAATTCTCAATGATGTGCCATATACATATAGTTTTTATTATTATTATTATTATGAATTTTGCTAAGCTATCTTCCATTCCTGGGCACAGTTTCCCATTCTATTTCTAGAATTTTTAAGATGACTCACTAGAATTCGTGGAAATGTTTTGAATAAAAATCTGTGACTTCAGTCTATTTAACAGGTTGAAATGAAACTAATTAGAGCAAATTAAAATTACACAGAAATAACTGTAAATTTTGTGAATAAAATTGACTTAAAAATTCATCAACTCAAACTACGTAAGAAGTTTAAATGAGTATACTGCTGAACGTTGTATAAATGTTTTAGCTTTTTGTTTCTTTTCAGATTGTTTTAGCAACAAATATTGCAGAGACAGGTATCACTATTCCAGATGTTGTGTTTGTAATTGACACTGGAAGAACAAAAGAAAATAAGTAAGTCTGAATTTACCAAATCAAAACATTTTCATCTGGGAAGTTTGGGGCTTTTGAAATCTTGAAGAAATTCCAGAAACATACAGGGAAAAACCTCAAATGTCTGAATTTTTCCCAAAGCAAAAAGCCTTACAAAGGTAAGGCCTATAAAATGTCCTACCATAAATGTCAGAATTTCATATTATGAGGTTTACCATAAGACATTTTAAAAATTTTTAGAAAAATGCATAATTTTTAAGTTTTTTTGTGTTTATAAAATTGCTTAGTAGAAGCATTATTTATGGGATTATAATACAAGAACATAGGTTGTGGGTCACAGCTGGTTTTCAATGTCTGATCTGTAATCTTGAGTAAAATATAATCTTTCTAATCATTTGGTTCCTCATTATGTAAATGGAGAAAATGAAATTTCCCTAGTCGAAAGTACTTAGTACATTACCTAGAACACAACAAGTAACCTCAACTGAACCTCCAGCAAAAAGATTACTACTTTATGTTACCCATAGCATTTAAAAAAAAAATCTATATACAAACAATAAGTAAAAGTGTATGTACATTATCCCCAATATTATGAAAATACACCAGGACCTGAAAAAGAATTATTACTATCCAAGTAAAGGTGAATTGTTGCTTATATTTTCAGGACTTATTTGCATCTTATAAAAAATAATATTCCTAGGTCAGATTCATTTGAGCTAAGTTAAAGTTTTTTTCCTTGTGTCCCAGCTTTTCTTTTGGTAGTATGAGATTTAGTATGGAATGTTTGCTAACTACTTAAGTGGGAAATGTGATTTGGGAAATGTTTGTCCTCAAGAGTAAAGGACTTTTTTTTTTGAGACAGGGTCTCACTATGCAGTTCAGGCTGGCCTTGAGCTCACTTTGTAGCCTAGGCTGGTCTTGAACTCACAGTAATCCTCCTGCCTCTGTTTCCCAAGTGCTGAGATTATAGGCATGTTCTGCCACACCTAGCTAGTTCAATTTAATTTGAAAAGTTAAATATTTCCAGCTTTTTTGCAATTTTGGTATAAGTCAGTAATCTACATATTCTTTCCTAAAACATTTCTTCAGGTATCATGAAAGCAGTCAGATGAGTTCTTTGGTCGAGACTTTTATCAGTAAAGCCAGTGCTCTACAACGCCAGGGGAGAGCTGGGCGAGTCAGGGATGGCTTCTGTTTCCGACTATACACAAGAGAAAGGTATGACAAAGCACTGGAAATTTGTAAGGCACAGAGCAGTGGTAGGTGACATTCCTGACACGATATTATCTTCTTTTTCAGATTTGAAAGCTTTATGAACTATTCTGTTCCTGAAATTTTGCGTGTACCTCTGGAGGAATTATGTCTTCATATTATGGTAGTCTCAAAGGAACTTAAATGACTTTTTTGTTCCTGTTTCTTTAGAAAGAAAAAAAAAGAAACTTAATCTGTTCTGTGTTGATGGAGTTTTTAAATGATTAACTTTTCTTTAAGATATGCCCCTCCCCATCATTTTATAAGTAGATCCACTGTGCTTTGATTTTGGCATAAATATTCATACTTTATAGATTAAAGTACAGTCTTATAACCTAGGCAGTAGTTCTCAACTAAATGTAGTATCAGGAGATAGGTGGCCTCATCTGGAGACATGTTTGTTGTAATTGGGCAAGGGCTAAATGCTACTCATGGTCTCTAGTGGGGAGAGATGAAGGATCATGCTGGACATCTGACAATATACACCCTAAAACAAATTACCTAACCCAAAATATGAACAGTGCTGGGACTGAGAAACCTTTATGTAGACTATAGATTTCCTAAGCTGAAAGATTTTACAACATTCTCCTGTTCTTAGATTTTTGACTGTATAGAAATCAGCAATGAAGAACCTTTAAAATATGAACTGGAAGATCTTATTGTCATGCCAAACTCTATCCCCAAACATACACACTCTCCCCTCGCCCTTCTGTAATACGACAGCCTTACACATTTACTTTCTTGGCTCAAAATCTTACTGAACTAGTTTTAATACTACTTTTTTGGGTAATGTACTTCCTTCTGATCACATACTACTTTTACCATTCTTTTTCAATATGTAGAAATGTAATCTTGGTTCTCCTGAAGATTTCCTCTCCAAAGCCTTAGATCCTCCTCAGCTTCAAGTAATCAGCAACGCAATGAATTTACTCCGAAAAATTGGAGCTTGTGAACTAAATGAGCCTAAGCTGACTCCATTGGGCCAACACCTTGCAGCTTTACCAGTGAATGTCAAAATTGGCAAGATGCTTATTTTTGGTGCCATATTTGGCTGCCTTGATCCAGTGGTAAGTAAAATGCTGCTGCTATTTTACTTTAAATGTCATTTGGTTGGGAAATTAAGTTGAGAAGTAATTTTTATTTGTAATTTAAAGTATTTTAATATTTAAATAGAATGCCTATACTAACATTAAAACCCAACAGACCTAAATATTTGGTGAGGATTTTTTAATATATTTATCTTTTTCTATTTATATACAAGAAAATCTATTCATCAATTTTCTTGAGAATACTATAGATACTGTTTAGAAAGTTTGGCTTATCTAGATTTTTGCTATTAACCCACTTGAAACATTTTTTAATTAAATTGTAACTTTTAAAATTTTATTGTTTGTAGTAGCTAATTCTTAAGGAAGGTTTTTTGTTGTTGTTTGGGTTTTTTTTTTAGACAGGACCTGTTGTGTAGCTCAGTTGGCTTTGAGTTCAATGCGTAATCCAGGTGGGCTTTGAACACAGAATAATCCTCCTGCAAGGCTAAAATTATAGATATGCTCTACCAGGCTTGTTTTAAGGAAGCTCTACCAAGGAAGTTTTAAGACACCACAGACTTTGAGAAATAGACTTAAAAAAAAAAAAAAAAAAACTTTTATCTGAGTTCATCCTCTGAGCCAGTAATTACCAGTTTTCTTTCCTAAAATTATTTGAGAATTACAAATTTTATACATCTGTCTGAATTTCTGGGCACATATTCCTGTAACGCCATTCCACCTTTCTAGTTTTAACAAGCTGTGTTCCTTTCTGGGTTTTAAGTCAAGGTTGTTATCCAAAAAAATGAAGCACCTAAAAATCAGTCTAACAAAGGAAGAAAAAGATCTCTATATTGAAAACTACAATACTCTGAAAAAGGTTGAAGAAGATATTAGAAAATGGAAAGCTAGGGCTGGGGATTTAGCTCAGTGCCTGGCAAGCTCAAGGTCATGAGTTACATCCCTGGTATCAAAAAATTAATAAATTAAAATAAAATAGAATTTTAAAAGGTCATTTTAAAAATTGGAGAGATATACCATGCTCTTGGGTAGGAAGAAATAATATAGTGAAAATGGCCATACTTCTAAAACTGTTATACAGATTCAGTGCAGTCCCCATCAAAATTCCAATAGCATATCTCACAAAATTAAGAAAACCCTAAAATTCATCTGAAACCAGAAGAAACTTAGAATAGCAAAGGCAATCCTGGGCAACAAAGATAAGACAGTGAGCATCACAATCCCTGGCTTGAAATTATACTATAAAGCTACTGTGATAAAAACAGTGTGGTAAGCAAAAAACAGATCCAAAGATCAATGAAACATATTAGAAGATGCAGAAACAACTGCAGATACACTAAGCCACCTTATGTTAGACAAAGGTGCCAAACATATTCACTGGAAGAAAGACAGCCTCTTTAATAAATGATCCTGGAAAAACTGGTACTACACATGCTGAAGATTAAAACTGGACCCATATCTTTCACTACGTACTAAGCTAAAATCAGAATGTATCAAAGATCTTAATATTAAAACAAAAACATTAAATCTGCTGGAAGATAAAGTAGGTAAGCTCTTAAAGACATTGGTGTAGGCAAAGACTTAATCAACAAAACCCAGTTTGCACGGGAACTATCACAAAGAATCAGCAACTGGAATCTCACCCTACTGAAAAGCTTTTGCACAGCAAGAGAAACCACCAACAGAAGAGACAACTCACACCGTGGGAGAAAATGTTTTCCAGCTGTTCCTCAGACAAAGAATTACTATTGAGAACATATAAAGAACTCAAAAAAAAAAAAAAAAATGCCTAGTGTGGTGGTACAGTCCTGTAATCCCAGCACTCAGGAGACTAAGGCAGGCAGACCATTGCAAATTCAAGACCAATCTGGGCTACAAAGTGAGCCCAAGGACACACACAAAAAAACTATAAAAAAAAGTCATCCCAGATTTAAAGATCCAATCCAAAAATGGGCAGCTGAGATGAATATATACTTGTCAGATGAAGAAATACAAACAGCAAATAAATATGTGAAAAAATGTTCAACATCACTGGTCATTCGAGAGATGCAAATTAAAACAACACTGAGATTCCACCTCATCCTAGAAAGAATGGCTACTCTCAACACATCAAGCAATAACAAATACTGGAAGGGTTGTGGAGGAAAAGGAACCCCTTAGGACTGTTGGGGGGGGGGATAGAGACAGGTGCAACCACTATAGAAATCAGTGTGGAGATTCCTCAAAAAACTAGGATTGGAGGTCCCATTCAACCCAGCTATTACCCTTTTGGGTTTCTTCCCAAAAGAACTAAAAACATACCACAGTGATATATGTGCACCTATGTTTATAGCAACACAGTTTATAATAGCCGGATTTTGGTAAATGCCTATCGACGGAGGAATGGATTAAAAATTGTGGTATTTTTATACAATGGAGTACTACTCAGCCATAAAGGAGGATAAGCTAGACACTTTTATAGGTAAATGGATGCAACTTGAGAACATACCCATTAGTGAAATAAGACACACGTGTAAACATCATATTGTTTTACTAATGTGACAAGCTGAAAGAAAAAAAATGTATATGTACATAAAAAATAGTTAAGATAGGTATACTAATTTCTCTGAGTTCACTGAAGTGAAAGATTTGTGTTGGTATTGTTCAGACAATTGAATTCAGATGTCTTGTGCCCTGGCTGAATGATTGGGGGATGATAGTATGCAATGTATGTACCATTGTTGCGCCCTGATTGACATGTTTTGAAATTTTGTTGTAGTTTTTCTTGTTTCTTTTTATCCTTGAATAAAATGGACTTGGGAAAAAAAAATAAATCAAGGCTATTGAAAACCATAGCAGAAAGAGGCCAACGTATTGCTCTAGTCCCTATTAAAAGTATCTGTGGGGCTGGGGATGCCTAACATGGATTTGGATCTGGATTTGGTCCCTAGCAATGCAGAAAAAGGGGAAGAAAATCGTGCTAAGTTCAAAAAATAACCTCTGCCACGATAGTTTATAAGAAAAGCTACAACACATAGGTGGTTATATAGTCCAGCTTACTTTTAAATAGCAGTGCAATCAGTGGAAAATCTGCAGTGTAGGGGTCAAGATAACTAAGCTATGATTTTGAGATTATGTCTATCTGCAAGACAGTATAAATCATATACTCATTTTCAATTTTTTGTTGTTTTCCTGATTTTGGTGCCATTACTTGTTTGCCTCATAGAGATGCTATAAAAATAAGTAACATGTTTAAGCTAAGCATGGTGGCTCATGCCTATAATCTCAGCACTTGGGAGGCTGAGGCAGGAGGATCGTTGTGAGTTCAGGACCAGCCTGGGCTACAAAGTGAGCTCAATGCCAGGCTCAACTGCATAGTGAGACCCTGTCTCAAAAAAACTAAATAAATAAATCACATGTTTCTCAAGTTCATAAGACAAAAGCAACTACTTTAATGAAAATATGTTAGCTATGGTAAAGCATGGTAAATACAGGCAACTTAAATCACGGTCAATGATTTATTTTACGAATCAACTTTCAGTACATTTGTCTGTTTGTCTGTTTGGTTTGGTTGTTTTAGGTAGGATCTCACTGCATAGTTCAGGGACTCTTGCTGTGTAGTCCAGGATGGCCTCAAACTCATTACAATCCTCCTGCCTCTATCCCCAAAATGTTAGGATAATAGACATACAGCACCTAGCCCACCTTTCAGTGTATATTTCTAATGACACATTATTTGTTATTTGTGGGCAGGCAACACTGGCAGCAGTTATGACAGAAAAGTCTCCTTTTATCACACCAATTGGCCGAAAAGATGAAGCAGATCTTGCAAAATCAGCTTTGGCTATAGCAGATTCAGACCATCTGACGATCTACAATGCTTATCTAGGGTAAAAAAAATAATTTGGGGATTAACCTGAGGATATTTACTTTAAAAAATTATCCATTTATTTTTATTTTTTCACCTCTCATGGTACAATTATGTTAAAGATTCATACTAAATATGCTCCATCAGAACTATGTACTTGATATTACATGTATGTATTAGTAATTTAATAATTGTTGTTGATAAAAACATTGCAATTAAAATTCTTATATAACATAGATACTGTAACAAACAAGACCCCTTAAATAATCATTTTACAATTTCTCTGGTTACCATCTGTGAAAAAAGAGAACTTGGAAAAAAAAATATGGTGAGCTTTATTCATTTATTAACATTTTGTCTAGATGGAAACAAGCACGGCAAGAGGGAGGCTATCGTTTTGAAATCACGTACTGTCGAAGAAATTTTCTTAATAGAACATCACTGTTAACCCTAGAGGTAATTCCTAATGTATCTCTCTAACTCTGTCAGATGCTTAGTTACAACAGGTTTATTGTAGAAAACAGATTGCTTAGAGTAGATAATGCTTGACACATAGTATTTAACAATTATTGAATAAGCTTGTAATTTTTGTAACAAGTAACGTGTAGATATTACACAGTGATTTAAAATAGAACTTAACAATCATTATATATTGAGCAAATGTCTTCTTCTCAACTCTGAAAATTGATGGTTAACTATGGAAAGCATGCCAAAAAGTAGAATACTATAATGAAGTCCCATATACCTGTTTCCTATTTCCGTAATTGTCAACATGTAATCAATCTTGTTTTCTGTTCTCTGGATATTTTTATACAAATCCAAGGTGTCAGATCATTGTGTGTCTGTAACATTATCACAGATTTAAAAGATGCCTTAGTGTCATCAAATATACAATGTTTAAATATCCTAATGAGCTGTTAAATTTTTTATAGGTAGTTAAAATCATGAGCTAAACAAGGTTCATACCTTAAATATGGTTGATATTTACATAAGTTTCTTCATCTATAGTTACTCCTTTCAATTTTTTTCCTATTAGGTGTTTATTTTTTAAAGAAATAAGGTATATTGTGTTCTGGTGTTTTCTACGTTCTGGAAATAGCTGCTTCCTGGCTAAATAACTGAGATTCAGAATGTGGAAATCCTAGTTAGTTGGCCCAAAGGTGACCTATTTCTCCAATTTAGCCCTTTGTCTTTTGTCTTAACTTTCCTTTAATTTCCACATTGCTTCCACCCACTTCTTGCTCTGAGCTTTTTCTTGTCTCTTCTACCTGCCTCTTTTTAGGTCTCTTTGCCAACTCTGTAGTGTTACAGCAGCTATCAGTTAGGTCCTTCCTCCCCTTGAGTCAGAACCTCTGCTAAGCCTCAAACCAAAAGCCTGAAGAATATCCTAAATGTAAACACCACCTTTTAATTACTTGTATCTCATGAACTGTGAATAATGCTTGTGCTTCTTCGTAGTAGTTTTGTTGGTTGACAATATTAGAGATAGAAAAATACTTTTGGCACAATTTTAGATTAAATGTAGTTTCCATAAATAAACTTTTTATCAGAGTTATTAATGAAATTAAAGTGAGATTCCCAGAAACAAGTAAAGATATCTACAATCTAGGATCAAGATTACTCTATAATTCTTTTCCAGTGCTCTTCTTTATGTGATCATCTTAATTGAGTAGAAATGTTCAGGGACTGGGGGTGGGATGTTATTGAAGTAAAAATGGTGAATAAAAATACATTCAGGTATATTTTTATTGTTTTCATAAATATTCTTATGTTCTGTGACATCTAAAATTTAAGGCTCTGACATGAGCTGACTCCAGGACTTTTTTTTCCTACTCTAGCTTAATTTGGGGGCTACAGTGAACTAACAAACAGCATTCTCTCTTTCTTATAGGAAATAGTAATATAAATTACAAGATTTTTGGAAATTTCTATATTTTAATCAACTATCATTATGTCTTTTCAACATAAATCTAGGATGTCAAACAGGAATTGATAAAGTTGGTTAAGGCAGCCGGATTTTCATCTTCTGCATCTACCAGCTGGGAAGGAAAGAGAGCACCCCCCACACTTTCTTTCCAAGAAATTGCCCTTCTTAAAGCTGTATTGGCTGCAGGACTCTATGACAATGTGGGGAAAATAATCTACACAAAGTCAGTGGATATTACAGAAAAATTGGCTTGTGTTGTAGAGACAGCTCAAGGCAAAGCACAAGTACATCCATCCTCAGTAAATCGTGATTTACAAACTTATGGATGGCTTTTATATCAGGAGAAGGTAAAGTACTCATTCTTAATTTCAGGATTCAGGGCATTATTCTAGAAGTCATTTGTGACAAGTTGGGATGCCCAACTGGGTATTCATTTAATTCTTAGTTTGTACTATTCATTTTCATTTATATATGAAATCTAGAAGCATGTAGATTTTCAAACAAAACAAAAAATATTTAATTTTTTTCATTTACTATTGTACTCTGACGATCACTTTTGCTACTTGGAATAAAGACAATCATAGCAAATAGATATTAGTGAATAATATATCTGTTCCCTGTTTCACTAAAAGGTGTTGTCTCAAAAGGGAAAAACACGTGTTGTATATCCCATTCCAGATAAAGGGTGGATTCAATGGAGTAGTAGAAATATGTGTGATTAGTCAACAGTTTGAGTCACTGTATTACCTAAGATAATTTAATAACAAATATAGATTATAGTTAGATCAATTTTTGAATTATGGCTGCATTTCTACTCCATTTTCTTGAACTTATGGTGAAAGATGGCATATGCTGTGCTTCATATTTTGGATTTTTTATTACCTATTGTATTGACTCGTTTTTAAGCTAGTATACCTCCCTTTATTAAAAATGCCTCTATTATCTTTTTTTTTTTGTACTGGAAGTCAGACAGGACCTTGTGCTTGCCAGGCAGTTGTCTATACTGCTGAACTATATTCCCAGCCCCCTCCATTATATTTCTTAAAGTAACAAGAATCTACAGTTTCAAGCACTGGCTTGAAAACTTCTGATGTTATCAAGCTTAAATGTGAAACATGAAAAATTACTGACTAGCTGGCCATTAAGGTAGAAACCAGAAACTTAATCATAGCTTTGTTTTAACATTAGTTATTTAATGTCATTAGCACTATAAAATTCCTTATATCTAGATTCATTTATGATCAAGTCATATATATTCTTTTTTGGGAGGTGGGTATTGGGAATCGAACTCGTGCTTGCCAAGCAGGCACTGTGCCACTGAGCTAAATCCCTAGCCCAAGGCATATCTATTCTTAGACTCTGAAGTTGTGTTTTTCTTTTTTTCCTTACATAGATAAGGTATGGCAGAGTGTATTTAAGGGAAACAACCCTAATAACTCCCTTTCCAGTTTTACTCTTTGGTGGTGAGATAGAAGTTCAACACCGGGAACGTCTTCTTTCTGTTGATGGCTGGATCTATTTTCAGGTACACGACCCAAATGATTTTATTGGTTACATAAAAATTTTCAGCTTCTAATGCCATTAAAGTAGAACTTTAAAAATTTGAAGTTTATGTAGTCTCTTCCTATAATAACTTTTTTTTTTTTTTTTTTTTTGTACTGGGAATTGAACTCAGGACCTTAAGATTATAACTTTCCTAGATTATATTTGTTATTTATTGGTAGAACAAGATTCAAATTTGGGATTATCCATCCCCAAACATATGTTTATTCTACTACATTTGGCCAACCATACAAAGACCAGATTCATGTTTTTAATATGTGCTGTCACATTCTTTGGATAAATTAAACTGTTTATTTCTGTTTCTCTGTAGCTCCTAGCAATATTGATTAGCTTAAATACAATTCTTTCCATTATGTTATATTATGGTACTTGTGTATCTAGGACTGGAAAGGTGAGTTTTACATGGAACTTTAAAAAGTCTGCAGTATTTTTTTCTACAGCAAAGCTGGAATGATGGAGCTGTTCTATAACTGGGTTGTGGTAATGGTTGTACAACTCTGTAAATTTACTAAAATCATTGAAACCCTTAAACCAGGCATAGTGGCACACACCTGTAATCCTATAGCACTTGGGAGGCAGAAGAATCACTGTGAGTTCGAGGCCAGCCTGGGCTACATAGTGAGTTCAAGGCCAGCCCAAACTGTATAGCAAAACCCTGTCTCAAAAACAAAGTAAAACCAAAATAACACCTTAGCAATGACCATACATTTCTAGGGTTTGTACATTGTATTTCAGTAGGGCTGTTAAAAAAAATTCCCTCCCCAAAACTTCAGTCATGACTCCCATAGAGTTTATGTAAGAGTACGGTTATTGAAATAAAAGTTGTTTTATTCTAGAGATAGCAAATTAAAAAGGAAAGCTTGAGATTTGTACAGCCTAGCTACCAGGAGATGATCTGCCCATATTTTACCCTATTGTATTTTATGTTAAAAATCAAGATGAACTAAGGCAGGTAAGGTGTAAGATACATGCATTTCTTAATTTATTTAAACATATTTATATTACCCAGAACTAACTTTGTTCATTTTGTTGACTCTACTTAATAGGCCCCTGTAAAGATAGCTGTCATTTTCAAACAACTAAGAGTTCTCATTGATTCTGTTTTAAGAAAAAAGCTTGAAAATCCAAAGATGTCCCTTGAAAGTAAGTATTTAATTGTAATATAGTTGGAATAGAGTGTACATACACACACACACACACACACACACACACACAGACATATACTTTGTATGTATGTATACATACATATATGCATGAATGCATAGAAAACCTTTCTAGGGGCTGGGGATTTAGCTCAGCGGCATAAGCGCCTGCCTTGGAAGCAGGCAGTCGTGAGTTCAATCCCTGGTACCGATTAAAAAAAAAAAAAAGAAAACCTTTCTAAGAGAGTTAAGATTTTAGAAGTTATTTAACATTAAGTGCACAGTAGCACATTTAATTCATAAGTTACATGTAATTAAAAATTATTTTACGGCTGGTCCGAGTGCAGTGGTGATTACAACTAATTGATCACAGCCAGTTACAGATTTCTTTGTTCCTTCTTCACTCCCACTGCTTCACTTGACTAGCCTTAAAAAAAATTTTAAAAACATTATTTTACAAGGCATCATGGTGTATACTTGTAATCCCAGCTATTTGGGGGGCTGAATCAGGAAGATCCCAAGTTCAAGGCCAGCCTAGGCAATTTAGCAAGATCCTGTCAAAAGATAGATGGATTAGTTAGGGAGGTAGGTAAACAGTAGACAAATAAAAGGGGCCCAAAAGTTTAATAAAATATTTTATGCTGAATTCCATTAATTTGAGACAATGTATGATTATAGTATTCACAATTTAAGTATCCTCTTACGATTAATTTACTACTATCTCTTATGAATTTTTCCTCAAAACTCCTGGCCATTCCACAGAAAAAGGGATAATAAAAATTGAGTGTAGCCAGGCTTGGTGGCATACACTTACAATTCTAGAGGCTGAGGCACTGTGATACCAGCCTGAGCTACATAGTGAGGTCAAGGCCAGCCTGGATTACATGGCAAGACCCTGTCTCCAGAAAACAAAAAAAAGGGGAAATAAAAAAACTGAGCATAAACTTTACTAGTTATTACCATCCTATTAAACTACTTTACTATTTTAGTCTGAAATTACACTGTTTCAGAGCAGATATTTAGAGGTAGAATGCATATTCTAGTAATATCATCCTTTTTTAATTGGCAACTTTCTATAGGGCTTATCACAGCATTTCTCATTTATGCAAAATTATTATCTGTATAAAATAAGTATATTACCATTTAATAGAAATCTCAATAAGACACCTAAATTTCCAGTTAGCTTGGGACAGTGCTTCCCTAACATACCAAATCATAAAAATCACTCTGTTTAAAAAAATCCAAAGCCATATTAATCTTCTCTATAGGTGAAGCCTATGGTCATATTATTATAGTTATGATTATTAGCTTTTTAAATATAGTTTTATTATTTTTGAGTGGATTGTTTTACTGGTGGGATGTCACACATGTAGAATTTGGTTGGTTGCATCCCTAGGCTTTGATTGGACAAGTTCTGAGTTCCTGAATTTCCTACATACTCCTACTGTAGTCACTTGTACAGACAGGCTTGATTAGAATCAAGTTTTAGGAAAATAGTATTTTCTGATTGGTGCTATATTCTTTTCCTGGCATCACATCGTGAAGCACTTCAGTTTGATTTTTCTTTAATAGTTAACAGTTGATCACTGGGTTCATTGTGAATTTATTTGACAAAGTACCCCCAGTTAATTCTCATAGCCAGGCAAATTGAGAAGCTGCTGATAGATAAGCGGTCCTATGCTGAAGACTCACCCTCTGTGTTTGTTTCTGTAATTTTTGAATGCATAAACCTTGAAGTATATTAATTTTCTTATACCACTAGAAACTTAGATTAGGGGGCTGGGGATTTAGCTCAGCGGCATAAGCGCCTGCCTTGCAAGCAGGCAGTCGTGAGTTCGATCCCCGGTACTGATAAAAAGGAAAAAGACAAAAAAAAAAAATAGAAAGAAACTTAGATCAGGTCTCAACATATCTAAACAGGAAGGGTCATGAGCTTCTTAGGGACCTAAGTGCATTACAATTTCAGCGTTACAATTGCATTATATAAAGGACAGGTTGAATCTTATCTTTCAAATGAATTAACTTTTAAATGAATTTTAAAGTGGTTTCAGTGTTTCTCTTTCCCATAAAAGAGAAAGCAAAGGTTGCTTTGGACTTGGGAAGGAAGATAAAATACATCAGTGTCCTTTGTTTCTGGGCTTACTATAAAGAAAAATTGTGACTGACTTTTAAAGTTTTGAAAAGTAACTGTAGTTGCTCTTATGCTTTCTCGCATTCTCTTCATCAGATTAAAAATCATGATTTTTTTCTAGAAATGCTGTTGTTCTACTTCTAGCAAGTGATCCTCTTCCCCTTTTCCCATGCTACTTGTTTTTCCTTTCCCTTTTTTTAATTGCATTATAGCTCCCCACAATTGAGAGTCATATCCTGGGCTCAGTTATTAAAATGCCCATTGCAAACTAGTAGCAATGAAAGCACTGTACATGTAATAATTCAGTCTTGTAGCCCTGATAATTACAACTTTCTGGAAAAGTGGTCATGAGATGTTTAGGAAATCAGTTTCAGAGCAGCTATTTAGAGATAGAAGCAGCTGTTTAGGATACCAGCTCGATCAACAAATAATACTGCCTTACTTGCTCTGTTTGTCAAAAGAGTTGGTATTTGATCTCTTTGTTGTGTAGAGAGGCCTGTCACTTCTCTCACTGACACCTCTCCAAGAGCACTCCCCCGCTCAATGTTTTGCTCTCTTTGGATTGAACATGCAAAAACTGGCAACATTTGTTCCTTGCTCATTCTGTGGATATCCTGCCATACTCTGAAGAATGTGCAAGACTCAATAGAGCCTTCGGTGTATTTCAACATGGGGGGAAAGTTGGGAAACTTCTTGTCTTAATGGAATTATTAAAAGAAATAATTCCACATAAAGAAGTCCAGATAACTATTTCGGACCTTAGCCTACACATACACAAATGTTGATTTTTTTTTCCCCCCAAAACGTTAACATGTTAAAATAGGTATAATAATACTCAACATATTTTAGGGCAAAAAACAATGTTTTATGAATATCTGTAGTATTATAGTGAATATTGTGGTGTTTATACTTTTAAGATAATCTTTTAATGAAGTATACTTCTTTATATGTGTATATATTAGAAAATCTATGTTGTACTAATTCATGATTTCTTTTCATTCAGATGACAAGATTCTACAAATCATTACAGAATTGATAAAGATGGAGAATAGTAATTGATACTGAAATTTATGGTCAGCTGCTTTAAGCTGAAGATACAATCATGAAATTATGAGAAAATGGATCATCCCATTAAGTGTTTTATTACCGAAAATGTTGGTACTAGCCATAACCTAAAAGGTGGAGGAAAGAAGCACATACTTTCAACATGTGTAATTTTCTAGTTCCTTTTTAATGATTGCTCTCAGTATATTTGCCACTACATTTACAATAAATACTTTGGTATCATCCTTTTTTGCACATCATTATGTGTCTTAAGGGCAAGGCCTGTGTCTATTGTCACTTGCAGTGTGGTTCTCTGTGCAGCCTCATTCTCTGTCAGTCTCTGACATTTGGAAACTGTTTTGTCTTAGAAGTGAAAGGAGCTCCAGAAACACTAATAACTAAATTTCCATGAAAAATAAAAATCTCATAAATCAGTTAACATTTGATACTCAAATCAGAAACTCAGTGCAGTATTAATAGATGTGACCTATTCTGGTAACATTCAGAAAACAAATATGTAGTGTGGGGGACAGGCAAGAATGATTAATGTTACTTAAATCCTTGGGTTGCGATAGCTTACACCATTTGCCTCGGTTCAGAGCTTTGAATTCGGGGCTGGGGATTTAGCTTAATATCATAAGCACCTGCCTTGCAAGCAGGCAGTCGTGAGTTCGATCCCCAGTACCGATTAAAAAAAAAAAAAAAACTTTGAATTCACCACTTTTGAACCCATTTTGTATCCACAATTGAACTGGTAAATTTGGTAATCTTGCAATAATTAATAAATGCTTAGATTTTTTTCTTTGTTTTCTTTCTTCTTCTTCCTATTTTTCCTTCTTCTGTCTGTCCATACATCTTTCACAGGGTCTCACTAAATCGCCCAGGCTGACCTCAGACTATAATCTTTCTGGCCCAAGTTCCCAAGCAGCAGAAGGCCCAGCTACAGACATTTTTCAGTGGTCTCTTATGTTTTCCATTGCTGTGAAACAATACTTGAGGTAATTTAAAGGAGAAAAAATTACTTTTGGCTCAGTTTCAGGGATTGAGTTCAAGGTTAGCTAGGTCCAGCACTATTAGACCTGATGTAAGGCAGAAACATAGCAGAAGGATCTGGCAAAAGAAAGCCTGTCTCTTCCTGGCAACCAGAAAGCAGTGAAGGAGGGAATGAACCCAAGAGCAAGGGCCCAGGGACAAGGACAAGATACAGTCCCTGAAGTCACATCTCCACAAGCCATACCCTTCAACTAGGCCCAACCTCCTAAGTTTTTATCACTTCCCAATAATACCATCCAGTCACACATCCATCAATGGGTTGATCCAGTGAATGATTTAGTTCTCATGATCCAGTCTTCCAAAAGCCCCACCTCTAAATGCATAAGCTTTTGGGAGGACACTTTGAGCCAAACTGTAAGTCTTATTTTCCTTCCTATCTTTTGAAACTATTTTGACTACTTAGAGGACTTTTCATTTTCTACCAACAGATTGCTAATAAACTTTAAATTCTGTCCCTTGTAGATCAAATGTGGAAATTACACCTAAAGACAAGTTTAGAATTTAATAGAAACCTAGTACAATTCCTTGGAACACTTTATAATAGTTACCCAATAGTTATTAACAAATGAATCCAAGTCAAAACTTCAACATTGCAGATAGAAGTAAAAAGTAATAATTTGTAGCAGTTCCAAATGTTAGATTTCTGCTTACCAAGTAGCAAGGGAATTCAGAACAAGGAGTCAAATATGACTAGTTTGGAATCTCCAGCTAGTGCTTTTAGTGAAAATAGCAGCAAGAGCCAGAGTGAGTACTGGACAAGTTCATCTTGGGCATAGATGGAGGCAAGGAGTCCTGGAGTGCTGCAGCTAGAACTGGTGATTGTTCATTTTGTATGTGCAAGCTAGTGCCTTACACATGTTTTCTCTATGAATTCATTTATTCATTCAACAACTCTAAGGTAGGTATTATGTTAATCCCATTTTACAAATGAAGAAACAAACATGGAGAAGTAAAATAACCCACCTGATATACTGACAAACAGCAGAGGCATCATGGATCTAGAACTAAAGTATTTACATTTCTGAAATAACAATCATTATTCCTTTGATTTTGGAGCGGCAGGGTCTCATTATGTAGTTCAGGCTGGCCCTGAACCCACTATATAGCCAAGCTGTCCTCAAATTTGCCTCAGCTTCTAAAATGTTGAGATTACAGGCATGCGCCAACCATTCCCAGCTCCGTTATTTAAAATTCTAGAGATGACCTACAAATCTAGTGACTTTAGAACTTGCTCCCCTCATTTTCTCTACGCCCACTTTCATGGTGTTCCGGCTGTACCAGTGTCCTTTTGAATCCCAAGAAGGTACTAAATGGTTGGTTCAGGATTTATTCTCAAACTGCTATAATACACTTTTTTGGTTTTTTAAGCTGACTTTTCTGAAGTACATCACCCATTTTAATCACATTAGCACACTACTTTTCTCAGCTTATACCATCTACTTTTTATCTTGTCCCACTATACACTGGCTGCACCATGACTGTTTCACTGATACATACTCAGCATAAACAGGCAGTAAATGCTGACTGAGTGAAGAAAGAAGAGGTTCAAGATAGGACTATCTTATTAAAGACAAGGGAGACAGCTTCTGGAAGGAAAAGAATTGTCAACTGATCTTAGATGCAACTGATACTTGTCGATGTCGCTCCTGGCCTGCAGGAAGAACACGCGACAGATTCTGACAGTGTGCAACCTTGCCTTTATTTGTCTCCACGTGGGCCCCGCGAGGCCTCCACTCTGCCACCAGCCCTTTCTCGCCGGTGGACTTTTTCTATCTCTCTCTGTGCTTTCTCTGTGCTTCCTCTCGTGGCGGGAAAGGCATTCACTTTTATAGGGCAACAGTAGCCAATCAGTTCAAAGCGCGCGATGCGGGCTGACTGGCTAACATCAGCTGTTGCTAGGCAGACTATCTTACAGGGCGGGTTGTTTAAGTCGCCAGCACAATCAGGGGGCAGGAAGCAGGCGCCAACTTGACTCACTCAATGGGAGGGGCAATCTAGCTCAGGCTCCGCCCCCACCCACAGGCCCTACGTCCGCCAAGTAAGGCGACCGGTGTCGGCGGCTCCCAACAGATACTCAAGAATACTACCAACAGACTAAGAAAAGACTAGATTTCAGTTTCTTTTTTCTTGACAAATACATTTGCCTGGTACAGCCTTTTGAATTGCGTGGCAATTCAAAAAGTCCTTATAGCTGCCCACGTATTTGGTGACTTCATAGAAGGGCTTACCAGACTTATAGTTAATAATAAAATATATACAACAGAATCAGCAAAAACCACCATTGTGGAGTGTAAAAAACCTGCACGCAGGCTTTCTATGTTTTGTGCAGTGTTTCTATTCAGGGTAGCCCACTTTGGTCTGAGTTAGAAAGGATTTTTATTGGAAGGGTAATCATTTAGATATGAAGACCAGGCACAACTGATCAAAACTCCAGACTCCCAGAAGAAAAGCAGGTTATTTAGTCAAAAAGCAAGGAATTTTTCTAAAGCCTAGTTCATAGGCTCTAGTCAAGTACTAGCCTTGTGAGCAGAACCAGCTGAAACCCTCTGACTTGCTACATTAATCTGTTTCTGCAAGGGCAAAAAAACGTAAATTTAGGGAGCAAATGCAAATGAACAGGTGAGGCAGCAGGTGAAAAATATTCTTTGTGGACTTGAAGGAAAGAAAACAATAGATTGAAGAAGGAGATAATTTAGGATGGTAATAATAAAAATAGAAATTATAAAAATAGTTTTTAGAAAAATAGAAGTAACCAGCTGAGTATTGTGTAAGAAAAATATTAACACTGAAGAGGGTACAGCAAAGGATTATATAGTAATATAGGAAACACCTTAGGTCTTCTGGCTTCTGCCAACGATGCTTAGTGACCTGAGATAAGCAGATAAAATTGATAGTGAATGGATTTTTAAATTCAGGTGGCCATTCCACCTTTGAATGAAGAGACTGTCACTGAAATGGGTGAGCAAAATTGCTTAAATAAAGATAGATGGGGCCAGAACAGAGGCAGTGGGTCCAAAAAACAGATCATGATCTAATCAGAAATTCAGAGTGAGAAAATGAATGATAGAGAAGCTGCAAACAGAAGTTCAGAATTTAAATGAGATACAACTGTCCAATAATAAGTAGTTCCCGGGGCTGGGGATTTAGCTCAGCGGCATAAGCACCTGCCTTGCAAGTGTGCGGTCATGAGTTCGATCCCTGGTACTGATAAAAATCAAAAAGACAAAAAAAAGTTTCCTATTTCCAACAAAATGGAGATGGGGGTCACGGAAGGTAGGTTCAGGAGCAAACAGGATGACTAACACGTTGATGCATCAGCATGGATCCAAGAAAAGGATAGAGCAGGCCAAGTCCTAATAGTCACTGCAGAAGACAGGAAGGGATCCTGATACTTAATACAGAGTGGCAAGAAAAACAGGGTCATATGAGAAAATGTCACACTCTGCAGGTAAGAAGCTGTAACATCTGGTGCTAGCAGAGGAGGACACCTGCCGTTCTCACTACATCACATTTTATGCCTGAGACATTAGAAGGAACACCTTTCATCCCAGAGGACTAGCAGGAAGGAATGGAAATACTGAGGAAAAGTATTATTTGCACTAATTTTTAAGTGAGCATTGTTTAATAAGCACTAAACTAATAGCTTTATTATATTCTTATTTAGTCCCCACAATAATCCTGAGGGGAGATGGGTAATATATTTTCTATTTACAAATGAGGAAACTGATGCTAATAAGCCAAATTGTGTAAGGACACATTTTTTTCTCATTGCTGAAACAATATACCTGACATCAAATGTTGAAAGAGGAAAAGTTCATTTCAACTCACAGTTTGCAGAAGTTTCACTCCTTAGTCAGCTGGCTCCAAAGCAAGGTGGCATGACAAAAACGATCACAAAGGAGAAATAGTTCATAGCGTGGCAGGCAGGAAGCAACAAGCAGCAAAAGCAGCTGCAGCCTGCCTCTCTCTTTTATCCTTTTTCAGCTACCTACCTTTCAGGTGGTGCCAACACCCAAGGTGGGCTTTCCAATTATCCACACCCAGAACTATGCAAAACCAGTCAGTGGACTAATTTAGTGGTCACACACTTTAATCCCAGCACCACACACCCTAGATCCAGCTACCTTATGACCACAGGAGGCTCTGGGAGGATAACTAGATACAAGCAGTATTTAAATACAAGCAATATCTA